CTAGCGCACAGATCGCTGATAGTGAGCCGTTACTTGACAGACACTGGTACAGTCTTACTACCACATACCCCCTACTCCCCGGACCTTTCACCATACGACTTTCACCTTTTCCCAAGAATGAAGAAGCGCCCGAAGAGACGTCGTTTTTTCTCCGCAGTAGAGGTGAAGGAAGCTACGGTGGCTGCACTGAACGGGGTCGCTAAAAATGGGTTCTACTTCTGTTTCGAGGAACTTTACAGACGTTGGCAAAAGGGTACAGAAAGCCAGAGCCACTACTTTGAAGGTGGCACAGCAACAGTGCCGTAACGCTCACCGTTTGCGTGCAATAAACCCAGTTTCGAAACTTTTTGAACCAACCTTGTATATAGATGATCATATAGACGATCGTGACTGACTGACGCTAATTCTAACCATGTTCTAGAGAAGTCAGAAAACTGAAACTTGGTACACATGTACCTTTTGGGATGCAGAGTTCAGAAAAGAGATACTTTAGAGATACATGCCCTGGGGGCACCCATTTTGAGGGGAAATGTTTTCAAATATCTTTTTTTTTTTGCTTCAGTCAAACGGAGAGACATGGAAAGCTGAAATGTGACATGGGCGTACCTACTGAGACTCTGAGTTCAGGAAAAATGTCAAGTTTTGGATACATGCCCTGGGGAATTTTTTTTTTTTTGGGGGGGGGGGGGGGGGGGGGTTTTACAGTAGAAGCCTTGAAAGAAATGCTCCCCAGACCTCAAATATTCACGTCAGTCCTACGTCCACTGAATTGAACAGAGGTAGAAATGTGAAACTTGGCACTGCTGTAGGACTACCCGTATGTAGGGGTCACCAATTTAGGGGTGCCCTCGGGGGGGTCCCCACAGGGTGGTTATTAACGTAGGGCCTGTGCGGCTAGAAGGTGATTGGATTCGGAGTGCGGAGGTTAATCCGGAAAGGTTTCCAGAAGGTATCAGGAAGGTTGCGATGTTCGGAGAGGTTCGTGAGAGAGACCTCTGTGATCGGCAGAAGAAAATCCGTCCATTAGTTATCGACTGACTCCAAGGTGGAGACTCCTTTGAATTACTTAGGACTCCGGGTTTATATAAAAAGGTGCGTAATTAGACACTACGCACAGTTTATTATACAATAAAACAACAGGGATAAATGGATGAGGTTAGTGACAAACAACAGCCTCACGCTGGTTGGGGGACCTCAGGGTCGTCCTCGTCCTAGTTGTCCGGTGGGGGACCACCGTCACCACGGTTCCTCAATAGTCCGCACTGTCCTGTGCAGCAGATGCGTGCAGGTTCAGCACAGCTTCAAGTGCACCGTCCGTGCGTAAGTGATCTGGAAATCTGGTCGGTGGCAGTGGGTGTTTCTGGGGTTTCTGTAAGATCGCACCAAAAACGTCTGCACGTCTGATGTTTAAGTCATGTTTGTCCTGCTGGTTGCAATATCTCCGAACAAAAGTCTTAATTGCAGGATAATTCTGAAAGAATATGCAAGGCTGAGAAAGATCAGGCAGAAGCATTTCGAGGGTGATTCACTGCACTCAGTTTTTCCCGTTGAGCTTCGCATTTGAGAAGTTCAGATCAGTAACTTAGCCAGGATTCGCCCAAGGTTGGGAACAGAGGGGGGGATGCATATAGACAAGAGTTGGGGGGACTAGAACCAAATTTGGGGAGCTTTATCCCCCTCCCCCCCTCTTCCAAAGGTTCAGAAAAAGCATGCAGAGGGGTCAAACTAAAGAAATGGTGAATGTATGCAATGATTCCACCTAAGAATGAAGAGGTGATTTTTTATCGTAATCAATTGACGAAATTGGGATGGACTTTGACCATTATGACCTGGCCATCCTTTCAGAGTTTGAACATTAAACCAATTCCGTCATCATTCCTGGAAAATGTAACCAATTGCTCCTGTACACGCAATCATGCCCATCCATCCATGTGGATGTGCCGTAGTATCCCGGGTCCTACCATGACAAAGGGGCTTCTGTTAAGGGTGACCAAAACGAAGCAAACATTTGCATGACACGCCCGTGTCATGCATACCCAGCAAACAAGGCTACGTCGAACCAACGTTGTATCAACGTTCCTAAGGTTTATTCAATGTTGATTCAACATTGATTCGAAGTGTTTCAAATTGTTTGCTGGGTATATGGCCTTGGAAAACCTATACTTGCGATCCATAGTTTGCATTCTTCCCGATCTGACATAAAAGGCTGCAAATACGGTTAACTGCAATAATTATGTCATGCCAAAATGTGTACATGCATTCGGATGAGTGATGCATTTGCAAATGGAGCCTTGCTAAATGAAAGCGTAACGAGAAGCCAGTCGCCTGACATGGGCATAATATTTTATTGTCGTTTTTTTACTTCCTTATTTCCAACATGCTTTTCTTTAAGTCCAAGATCTAGCACAGCGACGCATGTCAATAGCCTTGTCGCACTTGACTTCAATATTTACGAGGTATTTGACTTGAAAAACCTATATTTCGCAAGCTACACGCATTCGTGTTGAAACACCGGAGCCGATGATTACTACGAGTCATCTTGATACCAGTACGTGGGGCTATCGAGGAAGACTCTGTTGCTCCCTAAAAAAGACCGCATCTTTGAAACCATGGACAGCATTCCAAGCCAAAGGACGCGCGCCTCGCTTAAACACCGCCCTTGTGACCAACAACGGAGCCCCTCTGTGACACAGACCGCATAAGATCTTGTACGACCAACTACCAAGCTCCAGTTTTCTTCTTTCGCGAATTCACCGGAAATCAAAATTTATCGTGAAGAGGCGAGAAGACAGTTCTTCCGGAAACGTCTTCCACTCGTAAGCACAGAGAGAATTAGTTGCACAGAACGGAGTTTCCAAGTACCAGAGGCACCTCGCATTGGCAACATGGCAGCGAGATGTGTTAGTGATCATAGAGGGTTGCTGTTCTGATGTGCTTGTTTTTTGCGCTGAAGATGCGGTGACTGAGTGCACTTGCTTCCGCCAAGAGACTCGTTGCCGCTCGAAATTAATTTCCGGCTTCCGAGGGGTTTTGGCAATACTTCAGCCCTAGGCCTGCTAAATAACTGGTCAGAATGCAAACTCTGGTCTTGCTGGCCGGTCGCACAGGGTGGTGGCATTAGACGTGCTACCTTGTCTTAAATGAGGACTGGTACCAAGACTATTGCACCAGAGTATTAGTTGAGATATCTTCTCCATGGGTTGCACAATTGCGATAATCTCAGGAGGGTGGAGGGACTGTGGACGTAGGACTGACGTGAATATTTGAGGTCTGGGGAGCATTTCTTTCAAGGCTTCTACTGTGAGGTATGCTGTAGCGTCATGCTAACCTAAAGGCCTATTGCTAGCATTTGGTGTTTTCCATCTTCAGACCCCGAGTCCATCTTCTCAACCTCAGACAAAGTATCTTTTACTTTATTTGTTTGTTTTTCTCTCTTCTGTTTTTTGACCTGTGCGACCTGATTGTTGTGATGATTGTTTTGTCATCACATAATTATACATTCGTCAGACCGTAGTCCTGAGTTGTGATGACCCAATTGACTGCATATCCTTCATGAGAATGAAGTATCAGCATCAATTGTGTGATCATTGCTTTATCTATTCTTGTCTATATATACTTATAAATATATTGTATTTGTAAAGAGTACATTTTAGTCTTCTGAAGTGAAGACTGCCACCAATCATTGGTTGAGACTCTTAGCTGTTTAGCCTTTCTATGAAGAACATCAAATTTCTTGTTATTCTGAATTGGAACCTCTACAGTGCTAGTGTACCCTGCAATCTCATATTCCACATGAATGAATAGCTTTTGGGTAAGTTTAACTTATATATATTTGACAGGAAGTATGAGAAGGAAATTTTTATAACACAGCAGCTGCAACAGAGTATGGGAAGAAATCACTTTTAGGTAAGGATTGCAGCAAAGGAGTGAAGGTAGAAGTGATGATGTGAGAAGTTTGCCTTTGAAAGATATATATGTTGCCTCCACAGTGTTGTTTTCAAACTCATCCACCTTCTTATTTCTTTGTCATTTTGTCTTTTTCTCTCTCACACGTACCTCTTGCTACAAGCCAAAATTAGTTTTTGATCTAGGTTACGTGATTGAGAAGCTGCTGCAAAGTAATCATTAGTTTTATATTTCAATGGGTAGAATTATAATTGAAACAGTATTGAATTTAGCCAATATCTGGTTATTTGCTGGTATAAGCACTCATAACTCATATCCAATGTTGCTAAGTTATAATTATATATTTTCTCATATATGTTTTCTTTTTATTGTATCAAAGCCTAAAGTGTATCCTTATGTGTACCTTGGCTTCAATCTACTTAATGCCTCATCTAGCTATATGTATCATAAAGTCTACTTCCCACCATATGCACAAGTAGTAAAATAAACATGTACAGTGACATCAGGTATTAAGTGATATTCGATATCTAGTACTATTCAATATTATTAATAAATAATGGTGATAAAATATATTTTTAACTATTGAGAGAACTAATCATCACTAATAAATCATTAACATGATGGTGCCCTGGTAGATATTGTTGTGAGATTGATGGAGAACACTAGACAATTATAATCATGTCAGTTGAATTGTGCTGTATCCATGATGGTAATTTTGCTGCTTCTGCTCTGAAAGTCTGGGAAAACATGCATTCTTTAATATATTGCTTACTTTTCCTAAGCAGACTCATAATTCACTTCACCTCTTGTTAGCAGTGGTCTATATGTATGAAGACAAGGAATGAAGTGGGCATCATTTTCATCATCCTGATTGTAGCATTAAGTGAGAACAGCATAAGAAGGGCTTTTTATGTTCACACTCATACATCCCCTGCACAGTTCTTCATTGGAGAAATGTGTTAGCTATTGGATGATGCGGTTTGAAGAACTGGCTAATAATGTTGCAAGAATTCATGGTATGCATGATAAATCAGGTGTAAGAGTCTGTAGATACTGCCCAGTTGATGGTTGTTAAAACTATTAGATTTTATATGTTTTTCTCCTCTTGTGAATAGATTTTCTCTGACAAGATTGGGAAGTTTTCTTTTAGAGTTGGAGAAATGTGAAAAGGCTCAGAAATTTTCAACTGAGAATAAGTCCATGGTGTTTCATGTGCAGACCAATGTTCTCTGTGCTTCTCGTTAAGTCCTGGTAGTGATATTAGGAATTTTGAGATATACCTTGAGCCAAAGTGGGAGACCATGTTCAGTGCAGCTGGTTGGTGCCCAGTGCCCCCTCCCCCCCCAACAATCTCATATCCAAATGCAGATGATGCAGCATCTCGAATGCCAAGAAGAATTCCACTTAGCCCCCCCCAGATGCCAAAGCCAGACTTCCAAATCATGGAACAAGTTCTAAACTTTCATGGGCAGCAACTGAAGAAAATTTTGGATGATGAGCATGGAGAGTTAATGCAGCTCTTCCCAAACAAGAACTCACTTGACTTCCATGTATATCAGCAACGAGTGAAAGAGCTTGGGTAGGTTTCCTCCAGAAAACACGAGTTTCTTACTTTCATCAAGATTGGCATGTATTGATAAAAAAAAGTGTAATATTGCAGGATGGAGGACAGGGGGAAGCGTCTAAAGCTCCATCAGTTCATATCCAGCAAGCTCTGTGATTTATATATTCCCCTGTCAAAAGAGGAAGAACAGAAGAAATCTCTGATTGAACTTTGCACTCAGAGTGTCAAAGGTGAGGGAACAGAATGGAATTATGACTAACTCACAAAATAAATTTGCAGTAGGAAAAAATTGGAGGTAGTTATTAATAAACATAGACAACAGTCGAACTTAGTTATCCTCATAACTATTAACTAAAATAGATACACCACTGTCACCAACATATGCCTGTACAGAAGTTAGTGGATGATCACAGCATTAGTAACTATGATGCAAGTGCATTCTGATGCAGATATTGATTAGGTTGACAGTCATATTGACTGCCAAAGACTGTCTTATTATATTTCTAGATGCATATGCTGTAATGCCACCATTAGAACATTTTCTTCGTATCTCAAAACACGAGCGAAAAGATCGCATCCTTGAGGTGAGATGTCCTTGTGTCACCCATGTGACTTTACTCTAATCTCTCTTTTTTTAAAATTATTGATGTTGTTCCATTCAAAGGGACTTGAGAAGGGGGATCTTGTTGTGGGAACAGTATTCCACAGCATTCATCAGAAGTATCTGATTCGAGTGCATGCCCTTGATGGACCAAAAGCACGTTTCATCTCAGATATCAATCTTAAGGTGAGAAATTGCTCATTATGTTACTTCCTTTCAGATGCAGCATGCTAAGATTTCATCATTTCTTATTTCAGGGGTCCCTGCATGTCCAAAGTATTCCCCCTGGCCAAGAGGCCCTTGAGACTGGGACGCTGATCAGATGTGAAGTCCTTCAAGTTCATAGCTTGGAAAACATTATTTGTGGCCTGCTTGGTCAGTTTGTTTCACCTGAGCTGGCCTATCAGTATAAATTGGGCATCATCTCAGAAACAGACTTGCCAAAGTCATTTCGGTGGTTATTTCATTGTTCCTTTATTGTATTTCATATAGTCTCAATATGTCTTGATTTTTTGTATTATTTATTGTTTCCAGATTGGGATTGAACCTAACTGCAAATGATACTTATGACAGCTTTCTTCATTCCAACTTTCCTTTCAATCATCCTGGCAATGTTGGGCTCCTTTGTCGCTGCTTTGGTCTAGATGAAACTTCACCCCCAACTCTCATCGAGTCCTTGCAGTAAGTTCCAGGTTTCATTTCATTCAATTCTGGCTCAGATACATTGCAGTACATGATGATAATGGCTGTGATACAAGAGTGACTGTTCAAAGTGGAGATGCCCATGGCATGTGAAATTGATTGCAGGAAAAACTTTCCTGAAGAGCAAATGGCAAAGGCCTTGCATGAGCGTCAAGCTTCAGCCTGGGCCCGCTCCAAGGTCAAGCAAGGTATCACTTATTTGAAAGAGGGAAAATATACAGAAGCATTCCAAATGTTTAACACAGCCCTTCAGACCCATCCAGAGAGTGTGGATGCTTATGTTGCCCGTGGTGCCTTGTGAGTGCAATCTCAATTTTTTTTTTGCTTCTGAAAACACTCATTTGATCCTTTCTCTTAATAAGTAGCCCATCATTTGTCTACTAGGTTTTTCAATCGGGGAAATTTCAAAAAGGCAGAAGAGGATTTCAGGAAAGCCTTGGACATTGATCCAAGTCACACGAATGGGCGAAAGTACTACTTTGAGACCCTTATCAACCTTGGGGATCAGTGAGTCCTGATTGCAATAATATTCTGTAGGACTTTAGTCATCTCTTCATCATTTCCCCTCCCCAGCATGGTACTCCAGAGACAAGAGGAGGCCTCTCCTCTATTGGTTTTATGATTCATTTGAATCCATTATGCCAGTCTGGCAGCCAAAATGTGAAACTCTCTGAATGTCTTTGTTTAGTCAAGCTATAGGTCATATGAGAGGGCTGAAACAGGATAATGTCTTTCCAGGTATAAGGAAGCAAAGGATTTTGATGCAGCTCGTAAATGCTATGAGAAAGTACTCAGCCTGAGTCCTCAGCATCACAAGGCTGTGGAAGCCATGCAGAAAATGAATCAGAGGAAGGTCAGTCTCTCTTCCATGCTTCAGTGCTTCTGGAAATGACAAATAGGAAAATATTCACCTGAGACTTTGGCATGATTTCCATTCTAAGAGTTTTGCCTCCCCTTCCTGAATAGAACCCCTGCAGGATCTCTTTGGTCTCCTGGACACATTGGGAAAATTCAGCATGGCTTGCAAGATATTTTCTAGGATCCTCTCCCATTCAGACTGGAAGCCCAAGAAGAGATTGTTGCACCTCTTGTACTTGCCACCATGCTGATTTTTGCAGATCATTATAATTCTGCAAAAGTGGCTATGAGGAGCAGGAAAATGTGGGAGAGGTGCAATTTGTATTATCTGGTTTTCTTCAGATAGAAGAGGGGCTGCAGGGCCTTGACACAAAGGAAAAGCTGAAGAAACTCATTAAGGAGGAGGAGGGGGAAGAAGAAGAAAAGAAACAGAAGAAAAGGGAGAAGCTGTACGTTGTGTCCTGTTGACTCAATAATTTATGCTTACTCCTAATAAGTGACCCTCTCTGATCTTTTCTAGAGACAAGGAAGACATGTGGATATCGTCTTCATCTCCATCATCTGATTCTTCATCTGAATCTTTGGACAGCTCATCCTCTTCACATTCCTCTTCTGATCGGAAAGGGCGACGTTTTAAATCCAAGTTAGTTATCCCCCACCCCATGTAATTTCTTAAGAAGTGAGCATTCTGCACTTGGGAAATATTCCCTGGCAATGATGGCCACATATGCCAAGATCTGTTACACAAAAATATGAGTACTACATTGCTCAATTCCTGAAAAGCCTCCCTGAAGCACTTCATGCTCTATGTGCCCCTTTTCTAAGTGCTTCATCATTCTTGAAACTCTAGAACAGTGCTTCTCAACCTTTGTTGCAGCACACTGGTTGCAAAGCACTGCTCTGGAAGACTTGAAGATGGCCTAGATGATCTATTGTGTATTATGTAGGGATCTTGGTAATGACTGTAGCATGTTAATGTTTTCTACATATTATCTCTGCATGTTTTCATGAGAACAGGATAGATATGAGTGTTTGTAGCTGACCTGCTTGACTGATTCACGAACTAGGAGGAGACGCTCATCCAGAAGTGAGAAAAGGCAGAAGAAAAAGAAGAAAAGAAGAGAGTATCAAAGAAGGAAAAGGGAGAGAGGTAGCAAGAGGGAAGAAATGGCAGAAGAGGTAAAGGAAGACAAAGAGAGAAAGCAAGAAGATCTTCCAGTTTTGCAAGAAGTCCAGTCTCAATCTCCCCCTCTGCAAGCCATGAACCTTGCATTTCCAATTAATTTGGCCTTTCCCCCACCGCCAATCCCTGTTCCACCTCCTCTTCTCCTTAGTGAGTTTCTTGTGAAATTCTGTCTTTGATATTGTGATCAGTGTACATATGGTGCATTGATGTACTTGTATCTTCAAGGAATTTGAAGCCTTGTTGACAGGCTCATATTTTCCTCTTAGAAACATTTAGGTTCTAGGTAGGGCTGTCATAGTAGGTCAATGCTTTGATTCCACTATTGATGGTTGGAAGTATCCATAGTTTTTTCAACCATTGCTGCATATTGGCAAAATTTTTCAAGGGGAAGTGCCCATAGGATTGAGATGAGTACAGTGCAATACATTCCATCTGGGCAGGGACTGGAAAGGAATAGACTTGCATGGGCTTGCAATTTCCTATTGTGATCAGGTCCTGGAAATGCTGGAACTGACTATATAAATGATGGGAAGGAAAAAAAAAACATGCTGGAGTCTGAGACAGGTAGTGGGAAAGGAGAGGGATGGAAGACAGAACTTTTTTTTCTCTACTGTTTCAGTCTTCAGCTTCATCTCATCAGATGCATGCTGTGAAAGTGGATTGTTCTTTTGCTTCCTTGATTTCAAAATGTACATTGCTTACTCCCCCTCTCTATATTCCTGTCTTTCTCTGTAATATGCAGGCTTAAATTTCCAATTTGCCCTTGGGCATTTTACCTCTTAAGGTGAACTCAAAGGTAAATTTTTTGCACAGATGTCACTAGAATCTAGGGCTGTATCAATGTTTTGGCAGCTGCCAGTATGGCACCACCAGCAGGTTTGCATTCTGTTGGTGCTGATGGCCAAAGAAGACCATGTAGAGCAAATCAAAATATAAAAACTATGTGAACAGGGCTTGGCAACTGATTCTCAGTGGCAATAGGAAAAAATTAGGGCTGTCCTGATGCATCCATCAATGAATGTAGATGTAATTTTTGATAGTTGGAGGCATGGTAGGCTTCATTACTCATTGTAAAGGTCACACCTTCCTCCCACACTCCCAGTCACAAGTGTGAGATTAAAGAAGATGAATAATGGTTTGCAGCCTGATTGCAGCAAGAAATGACAGAAATGAAACCTCCACCTGATAGTAGCAAGAAAAGTCTGATTCTTCTAGCACCCTACCCCCCAGGTGCATCAATACACTATTGATAGTTCAGGTTGATGCATTGACGTTTGAAAACGGCCATTGTGACAGCTTTAGTTCTATGTGTTGTTCAGGTGCTATTTAAGAATTTCAAGCTAAAAGGCAGTCATTACTGCAACAGTATCTTACCTTGCTCCAATTTAAGATAGAAGCAATAGCAAACTGGTCATTGTGCTGTCTTCCATCAACAAATGAGTACTGAGGGACAGAGTTTTTGCAAGTTCCTTGTTGAATGTATCCAGGGTGGTAATTCATCCCTTCCTTTTGGTGTGAATGATAGGCACATTTTTTCATATTCTTGCCTGGAACAACAGGATCCCTCAGAACCATGTACAGAGGGTATGTGTACCTGATGCTGAGATTCTTTGCTTCCAACCTACCCCTCACACAGGGTGACAATTCATGGACACATTTGACTTGTTAATAAATTGTTTTATTTGTATAGTACAGGGTGGCCGAAAAGTCACCGTACCCCTATCTACCTTTTTATGTTTTCATATATTTAATGATTAGAGATATAAAAATACCCTTGTGCACATCTCACATGCCCACTGAAAACAGCGGCACGTGGGCCTGCAACGAAACGCTCATGGGCGACAGGCTAGGCCACTTCTGCGACAACTCAGCCGAATTCAGTTTTGGTGGTTAAAAATGGCGGACACTGGAAGCTACAGCATTGAGGAGCACTTGGGTGCATGAAAGACAGCACACCAGACAGGCAATGGACCAGGTGATGATCAGGTCCGTGTCGACTTTTGTGGTGAATGTGCAACAGTGGCACAGGTGTCCACTCGGGTTATTGGCTGACCACTGCGTGGCTGTCCTTCACACTGCCGAGGGAAAACGCTCGTTTCTCCCATGCAAATAATGTTGCTTTGCGCAGAGGTGGCTTTCCAAATCCTGCCTGGAGTGCTGCCATCATCCGGTCCTTCACTTGCCTGGTGTGCGGTCTTTCATGAAACCACACACTTGCCACTAAGCGCTCCTCAATGGTGTAGCTACTGATTTCCTCCATGGTTAACTGCCAAAACTGAATTCAGCTGAACTGTTGCAGAAGTGGCCTAGCCGGTCGCGCATGATCCCTTTCGCACCAGGCCCATGCGCCGCTGTGTTGAACGGGGATGTGAGATGTGCACATAGGTTTTTTAGATCTCTATTCACTAAATATATGAAAATATATGAAAGGTAGATAGGGGTACGGTGACTTTTCGGCCACCCTGTACAAATTCAAGATACCAAACATTTGAAAGAACATAAAGTGTAAATATTGTTGGCATACACATTCAGATTTTGAAAATTACTGATGTAAGGTAACTTGCCCCCAAATGTATGCATTCACTGCAGCAAAAAAAGAAATTGTTCATGACTTGCTGAAGAGTTTCAAGAGAAATGAGGCTTATTTAGTCTCTGATGTTGTTTTTCAGTTCAGTTAACATATGTGGTTTAGTCAGACCTTGGACTTCAAGTAGCCCAACAAAATGAAGTCTGGAGCAGGATGGCACAACTTGTCATACAGGCATTGAAACAAGACAACTTTTGCAGGAGACATTTCCAGATCATGTTTAGAGATTTGGAGACATTCAATGGCCATCACCTGATCTAACTGCTCCAGACTTTTTTGTTGTTTTGTTGTATCAAAAGTAGGGAGATCAAATTCTCCTGTGATGGGAAATCCCTCCCTCCACTCCAAGATAAGGTGATACTGATGATAGGTTTGCATCTCTGAATGTCTATACAGTGGTACCTCGCATAACAAACGCAATTCATTCCAGCGGTGCGTTCGTTATGCGAGGTGTTCGCGAGTGAAAGTGAAGCATTTTTTCCTAATTTCCTTGATTTTTCTCTGCGACGTGGAACAGATTACATGATTTCCCATAGACGTCTATGGGAAATCGTGTTTCACATAACGAACACCTCACATAACAAATGCACCGCTGGAACGAATTGCGCTCGTTATGCGAGGTACCACTGTATTTGATACTATTTTATTTTAGCACCTTCAGTGCTCTATTATCTAGGATAGTGATTAATTCATTAATTAATTTTCAAAGTGGCAATAACTTTGAGATTTTCATCTAGATCATTACTCCAATGATTTCTTTATGTGCCTAACTTCAAATCTCTTCATGTGCCCATTTTGTCAGAGAAGGAAATATATCTTGAAATACTTCCCTCCCATGATCCACCCTGAGGGGACATATTTCAAAAGTAGGATTTTTTATTTACTCAGCTATCCATCGGGTACTTCTGCTCCAAGTTTCAATTTTCTATCTCTCTCCTTTTCGTTGGATCAAAAAAGATTCAGGAAAATGAGCCTCTTGGAAAAAAGGTGCCCTGAGGGGTTTTACCTAAAAAGTACTATTTTTACTGATATCAGTACTCAGAGAACTACATGCCAACCAAGTTTCTACCTTATACGTTTGCCCTTTTCGCTGATGAAAAAATATGTTTGGAAAAGCCGACCCACCCTAAAGCTTTGCCATGAGGGGATGCTCCACAAAAGCTGAATTTTCACTGAACTCAACATCATGGCAGTTATGTGTATGGCAAGTTTTACCTTTCTGTTTCTGCCCAATTCACTACTGCAAAAAAAAACTATTTGAAAATATCACCATAAAAAATATTCCACCAGAGGATGCATCTGAAACTTGACATCTTTCCTGAACTCAGTGTCTCAGTTAGCATATTCATGTCAGCTTTGTTTCGGCTTTCCATTCATTTTTCAGCTTTCCATGTCTCTCTGTTTGACTGAAGCAAAAATATTTATTTGAAAAGCATTTCCCCACATAATGTACCCCCATGACATGTACCTCCAAAATCGAATTTTTTCTAAACTTTGCATCCCAATTGCTACTTGTGTAGCAAATTTCAGATTTCTAACTTCTCTAGAACATGGTTAGAATTAGCATCAGTCAGTCACTCACTCATGATCATATATATATGTCGCATGCAAGTTGACCTTGCCATGCAAATTAAACTTGCATGGTAATTCATCTTGCAAGTTGAACTTACACAGCCAAATCATCCCAGGTTAACATGAATAGTCAATCATGGCGTGCATGTTGAACTTGCATGGGCAAACCCTTGTTCATGTTTTCCTGGATTGCACATTTTCGTACAAGTACAGAGAAGCACTTCATCTTGGTTAGAATAATGATCGTATGCCTTCAGCTACCGGCACTTGCTTTATTTGATGAATTAGTTAATCATGCCTAAGGAATAAAATGAAGAAACTGCTTCATGATGTCATTGTCCTTAATTGAAGAATCTGCAAAAACTTCAATGCCTGCATTCAAGTCTTTCTCTTGAGCACATCTTTCTTATTTACATGCATTTGTTGGAATCCATCTATGACCCGTAGCATCTAGAGTTGCACTGGGTATTATTGGCTACCCACTTGCACCTTTTGTTGTTTTTTTGTTTGTTTGTTTTTTCTTAGATGCATCATTCATAGTGGCATATTTTATGGGGGGCAGCTGCCGATCAATGAGAAGAAAGGTGGGCTTTCGTCCCATTGATCTTTGCAGCCTTGACCTCCGTGACGAGTCTCCCATACCTATCTATTGGGAAACACTGGGTTGTTGGGAGACTTGGTTTTCTCGTAGAGCTTTGACAGAAAATCATTGAACTGGGCTTTTGCACCCATTATCACAGATTTGAAGGCAGATTAATTAGATGAAACCACTAGAAGAACGAGAACGTTCACTCTCACTTGTAACCCACTGAACAAGGTGAGAGAATAAGGCTGTCCATGAAAGAAAAAGGATAAAGGCACCCCCCTTATCGTTTTCCCAAGGCCAGGCACACTACCTGTATTCTCAATTAAAATTGTCTAACTGTAACTTGGGGACAAGACATTCAACCATCCAGATATCCATAGCTAGATATCCATATCAGGCCATCGCCTGAACTTGCATTAAAGTCCATCATGTGGTTTAACTTGCATAAAAAAGAATGCATGCAAGTTATCATGCATAGAGAGAATCAGATGGGTTCAAGTTGCACGGCATATCCGTATGCAAGTTCAACTCACACGGAAAGGTCAACTTGCATACGACATATATACTCCGAACTGAAAGTAGAAGTAGAACAGTTGTGCAGAATGAAGACCATCATCGGCACAACTAGTGTCATCCTGAAAGACCTCAAGGGACATGTCAAGAAGCTGGAGTGTAAAATCTCACTCGATATCCTCCAGTGTACAGCAATCTTGGGCATGGCCAATATCCTTCGCCGTGTCCTTCAAAATTAGGCGAGTATGAGGTTTGGGATGTGGTTCATCCCCCCTCAAGCCTCCAATACCGGCTGCCACCGTGGAAGGATTTATTTTATATATATATATATATATATATTAGAAATAGAAACCTAATGTTGCCCTGTTCATGATTTGCCCGAATCATGAACAGGGCAGCAGGCCTAGACTTCATGTTAGAGGTTTTTTTTTTACACTGTATGTGAAACTATGTTTTCTTTCTTTTTAGACAACAATGCCAGTGGGGGTATGTTTGGGCCAGGTTATCCCAAAGTCCCATTTTCAGGTGATTCTCACTATTCCAAGCCCCAGGACACTGAATATGATGAGAAGGTCTGTGGCCTTTCTGTCTCACTTTAGGTTTATGGCTTTTTTATAGTTGTAGAAAGAAAAAGTGCATGCATGAATGATTCTCAGGTGAGGAAGTTTTTAGAGCAAGTGTCACGTAAGGAAGATGAGCAGAGTCGGAGTCGATCATATCGTTCACGTTCTCCTTCTGCATCTCCTTCATCTCATTGCAGGTCTGTGATTGATTTGAAGAGCCTTCTCTATTTGATTGTCTGTGCAATAACTGGAATAAAGTTATCCTATGTGGCAGGAATCATTCCCCCTTTCAATGGAGGCAACAATTAAACATAAAATATGCTGGGCATTATTTCACTGTCATGAAATGAATCCATACATTTTCCTTCTCCTGGACCTTAGATGGTTACACTCTTGGCTTTTTTTTTAATAATTCTTTTTCATCATTCTTTCACCATCCAAGTTTACATTTTCCTTCCATCAATATACAGGGTGAGTCAAAAGTCCTGCCCACCTTTTGAACATTAATAACTTCTCAACACTTGATCTCATGGAGATGCAGTTTTCACCATTTGAAAGGCAAGACAATTCTATATAGGAGGGATTTTTGCATTATTTTTCTAATTGAAATTAAATTCCTGTTCTTCGGTCATGTAAAAGCATTGGCACCCAAAGCATGCTTGCAGCACTGTGTCTAATTTTCTGTTCAACTGTCAGATCGGAGAAGGTCTCCTACATTTCCTGTCCTGTCAAAATTTGAGTTGATATGGGCAAGCAACTTGCAGCTGACGGTTTCTCCAATCAATTTCTTCCTGAATAGTCATGCGGTTTCTGTCGCATTTGGAGTAAAACCAAACTTTTGCAACTCGCTCATCATCAGTCAATCATTTATCAGCCATTTCCCTCAATCCTCCATGAATTGGAATTGATCACAGCCAAGGCACAATAACTCTCATACTCGAAAAGACACTTGGATGCGGTGCTGCAAGGATGTTTTCACGTGCCAATGCCTTTGTATAGCAGCCTAAATAGGAATTTAATTTCCGAATGATACCATTAGCAAAATAATGTGAAAATCCTTCATTAGACACAGAATTGTCTAGTCTTCTGAATGGTTAAAACAGCATCTCAATGAGATCAAGTGTTGAGATTCAGGTTCAAAGGGTGGGCACGACTTTTGACTCACCATGTAGATTGGGAGAATGTGATATCTTTAGATTGAGATTTACATTTTAAAATTGACTTCTTAGTCTCATCAATGTGTGAACATACACAACATGATCTATAATAAGTCAGTCTAAGGAGTATGACATGAACATGGAAAGGAATGGTTTTTATTTTCTGTAATTTTTCATAGATAGCATTGATATGTGGTTCAAGGTTGTTGAAATTTGAATGAAATTTGTCTACGTTGTGAAAACATCAGATCTGTTTATATAAGGGCATATATAGGGAGTTTTACAGTGAAATCGCTCATAATTTGAATAATCTTATTGTGATGTGCAGGTTTTAAATCAAATCTGATATTTGCATGAACTGTAGATTCAAAACCCACTAGAAATTATGATGTCTCAGCCTAAATTGGAACAATTTGCATATATCTTTCAAAACTGCTGCAAAATTATTGTTTTTAGGTTGAATCATGGTTGTGACTTTGGTGTTGCCAGGAGCTATGGCACATTCCTTTCAGGTGTTTTTTAGATTGTAAAAGTATTAATTAAAAAAAATGGAATTTATGGTTAGACTCTATCCACCAGAAGTGGTTAAGGTGCTGATTATTGATGATAATGTAGAAATCATATTAGTGGCTGCCATACTTCATGACAATGTATGAATAGCTTAATTCTTATGGCTTCTGCAGGAAAAAGAAAGAAAGTTATTTTCATGCTGACTGGTGTGATTTATATAGATTGGATTCTCTCTCATATAAATTTAAATAATGCAACAATTGAATAGATTTATAAGGAACAAAGGAGATATATTGGAACCAATTAACTATCTTATTCTTGACCTTATGAACTTCTCTATTTCCATGCAGGCACCATTCTCGTGGTCATAGCAGAGAAGTGTCAGAAGATGGAAAGTCAAGGCACAGGAAACGTACTAAACGTCTGACATCTGCATATGATCTTTCTTTTCTCAGCTATAACATATTTCATTTTTTTCTTGTACATATATATTTCTTCTCAGATCATCACCATGGGTCAAGTGAGCAGAAGTCAAGGGAAAAGGAACGAGGGAGGGAAAAAGAGAAGGAGAAACAGAAGGGAAAGGGAATGGAAAGAGAAGAAATGGGGAAGGACAGGAAGAAGTATGAAAGTATCGAGAAGAATGACAAGGAAGAAACAAATAATGATGAGAAGGACAAGGAGAAGTATGCAGCTTCTATGGGAGACATGCATGTAATGCAAGCAGAGTATGTTCAGCTCCAGGTTGAGGAACTGAGTCGACGGGTTGAGGAACTCATCAAGAACCCTGAAGCAATCCTTGGGAAGAAGGGTTCCATGATTGATGCTGAGGATCGCTTCCTCTATGGTGAGGATGAAGAGAAGAGCAAGAAGGAAAAAGATAAAGGGAAGGAAAAGGGAAGGAAGAAGAGAAAGAAGAAGCGGAGAGTTAGAGGATCAAGTGAACAGAAGCACAAGAGTCGATCTTCCTCTTCAAGCCTCTCTGTGTCCTCATTCCACTCATCAAGCAGCTCGTCTTCTGTGTCTAGGTCATCTGAATCTCTGCTTTATGCCAAGAAGAGGTAGGAGGGCTAATTCTGGTTTTTCGAAGTAGTTGTGTTTTGCCCAAGGTTTTGATAGCTCTAGCAGTGAGCAGCAGTTTGAACAGCATAGAGCATTTGGCTTTCTTTTCTGTGTAGGAGGAAGGAGAAGAAAAAGCATAGTGAAAAGAAACGGAAAAAGGAGAGAGAGAGGGGGAAAAGAGATAAAGAGAAGAAGCGGGACAGAAAGGTGGGAGAAACTGTGCTAGAAGGCAAGAGGGCCAAGAAGCAGGAGGAAGAAGAAGACAAGGGAGTGAAGAATCAAAAAGATGAAGGCAAGTACTGCAATGATGATCTGAGGGTACTTTTCAAAGTGCATGGATGGGTGAATATATGATATTGTTTATTAATTGTAGAAGAACAGAAGATCTTTGACATGTTTGGAGACTCACCATTGCAAACTGATCCTACTGTGTCAGGCAACAAGTAAGGAGTTTCAACTCTTCATTGATTTTGCATAGAATTCCACTGAAAACGATACTGAACTCAATGTACTTATTTCCTTGATTGCAGAAAGGAACCATTACTGAGGATCACCCGAACAGTTGATCTGACATCTGAGTGAGTTTTTTCTTCTTAATTCTTTAATTTGATTCTTAACTTAATCTCTTTTCATTCACCAATGTTGAGAATTAGCTATCAAAGTGTGTCAATGCTAGATAGCTTAATTCCATAGTACCAATTTTGTCTTAATTGAATTTCATCAAATCTTATGAATGAGTTTCCAATCCAAGTTACTTTTTCTGTTCCCATTCAAACTTATAGGTGTATCTGTCTTATATCAGAGTTCAATGAGGATTAATTCACATATATGAACTACACTGATGCATCCATTGTGGAATAGCAAAACTTTAGTTTTTCCAGAAGTGCAGAAATCTGATGCTTTATAGTGTATGTGAATTGAAATTTGGCTCTTGCAAAAAAAAACAACATGAAGGCTTTGCATATACTTCCCTTACATTGGCATGATGATCTGCTTCACATAATTGTAACTTTCTGAAATGTTGAAGACTAATCTGCCATAAATAGGATAGGATTTTATGTAGATTTTAAATGATTTTATGCTCACCCTCTGAACACCTTTTCCCTGTTGGGAAAGGGTATTCAGAGGGTGAGCTAGGGTAGGTTGGGTTTCCTCCATGAATGAATTTCCAAAAAGCATCCCTCCTCCCCAGAAGTTATTTTCCCCTCCATGAAAAACAAAGGAATGAATTGTGTCTGAGCCACAGACTTTCATGGGCAATTTTTATGTGGGAAACTTGGTATATCTTCCTGTTTTTTTTTCTATCAAATAAATTATTGCATTGTATTGGTATCTTTTGTGGGACAAAGGACAAATCATGACCGTTACTGAATTCTTTCCAAAATTGCCAGTATTGGTGAAAAGTGGGTTTTTTGACTCACTAATAGGAATTCATGATATGGGAAGTAAAATTCTCATTACCCATGAAAGGGTTAAATTAAAATAATGCCACAATGGGACTTTCAGGTTATCAATAGAGTTTGCCATGTTTTGGGCTAACTTCTTAATTCCTTTCAGACCTGGCATCCATTCCAATGGACATTGCATTTACATTGTGTCTATGGCAATTTCTTAGGATTCTCGTGACTTTGCGCTCCATATTATGCTACAATGAGCACAATTACGCATGGCCCAGTTCCATTAGAGGCCTTCTTTCACCCATTAGTTTTGTAATCTTCAGTTATTTATTAAATGTATAATATATAATATATGGTATGAAATGGTAAATTTATGCAAAATATAAAACTACATATAAAGCATGAAAATTTCAATTACAATCACAAAAGAGCTCAAAAATGCAAAAAATAATATTATTCTGATAGTGGCCTTAATTCAGGTCTGAAAGGGTTCAAATATGTCAGTAACACTTCACACAGGAGCAAGTCTCCAATGACTTATCACTACTTCTAAAAGAGCATGAATCACCCAGTCTCTGCCACAGGAACTGCATCAAATGATGGCTTAGAGCAACCTGCCACACTTTTTATTATAATTTAAGTCATGTGCTTCTGATCTTATACACAAAAGTTTAAGGGAAGTAGGTGTCATAAACCTCATAAGCTGACATGAAAGTTGTTGATTACCCTGTGAAGAATTTTGGTTAATGATGGCTTCCCCCTTTTTTTTGTCAGCATCAGCACCAGCCAATGTGTGTGAGATCATAGCTAGTCATGGGGTCATTTGCCAAAGACTACTCTCTTTGGAACCCTATATATGAATGTCTTGCTCTGCCTCATGATTCCTGAGAATAGGTGCAAAAACAGGAGATACATCCACAGTTTTCCTAAAACAACTAACTCATACCCTGACAATTCCCTCAGCATGACTGCATTCTTGGCTGAAGACCCGAGAATAGAAGAAAAGATCCATCAGTAGCATCTGCTTTTATAGACAGCAAAGTTTGAGTGGAAGGTTCTGGGTTGGGAAGGAGATTTCTGCAAAATGTGTACATGTGGATGACTTTGTCCATTTATGGTGGAAATTAATAGAAATGAAGGAAAAAGCAAGATTTTTTTCCCAATTGAGGGGAAGGTTGGGAAAGAGATGTATCATATTCCTTTCCCCACATGAAGAACAGGAAATCATTCCATGTTTCATGACCTGCAGTTCCTTTCCAAGAAATTAACACGTTGGCGACAATGCGTCCTGATGCCAGGATGCAGATTTCATTTTCAATGAATACCCTCTGGAACTGTTGAGAACGTTCCAGAAGATTATGATTTCGTAATTACTGATAAAAATTCCAAAAAATTCAACATTTTAAAAAAACTCGGCAAAAAAAATGTTTTCTGGGACCATGCGTCCTGATGGCAGGACGCATTTTTTGACAAAAAAAATGCACGTGGTCCCACGCGGCGGACAAGCAAAAATAGGCTGGTCGTCAACTTGTTAAATTCTTCTCTTCCACATCTCTCTGTCGGGCATCCAGCTGCACAGTCTCCACTTGCTTCCTCAACCCCAGAGTCATTATTGTTTTTAGAAGCCAGCAGGTGTGGAAATTCACAACTGAGCCAATGTCTGTTATGTTAAATCACTGTTACCTCTGATTTGAACGACACTGGGCTTCTTCAATGGTTTCTGCTCAGTTTTACGTACTGGACTTCCCCTGGTGGTCTCAATTTTAATTTTTGCAGTAAAGCTCTAGGAATATTTAAGCATTTCCTGCAACTGCCTCCAAAGACATCTATTTTAATTTCAGTTCAAAGGAGAAGCGGACAGTGATGATTCGTGAGGACACAGATGATGAGGAACCTGAGAAGAAAAAGGAAGATACCCCTGAGAAAAAGAGAACATTCACAGAATGTGAAGGAGGAATCCACTCAGGGAAGAGAGCCTTTACTGAAGCCATTCCATCCTCTAAACAACCCTTCAACAATAAAGAGGTTTGCCTCCAAATCTGGATCCAGTTTACCTCCCTTTTTCTTCAGAAGACATATTAACTGCTTTAAGAAACTCTTCATTACATTCTTCGACTCAGCAAGAAAGAAGGAAAGAGAGCATATTGTGTTTGCTACTTCATCCATTCCAGATTCTGTTTGCTTGTTACTTTCTATGAAAACTATTGCAAAATGTCTCAGCAAAAACTTGATAGAACCTATCATGAATACAGGGTGCCTGGAAAAAAAGTATGCCCTTATATATTTATGAGTTTCTCGACAATGAGGAGACTTAACTGCCTGAAAATTTGAATAAATAGAGTTCAAATAGTCAGGAAACAGTTATTAAAATATTAGGCAGATCAGTTTGACCTGAACCCTGATTCATATCATTTAATGAAATGATCTCGAAACTAGACCAAACAGTTTATTTTATCACCTAATCTCAAACAAAAACAACAACAATCATTGCAAATAAGGAACAATCAGCACATTCGTTTATCTTTGGAGACAGTGAGCAAAGTCGTTGACAACTTTCTGAAGAGGTTAAAGTAGTGCATCGAAGCTGGAGGTGGCCATTTTGAAAAAAAGTTATTCTATTGTGATCCCGAGATTGCAAACTGCTTTTGTTCTCACTGGTTGTAAAAATTTGGTCATTTTCAATAAATTATTTCATTCCTTTATTTTGTCCAGGTATTTTTGCTGCACCCTTTATATTCCGATATTTTTGCTGCACCCTTTATATTCCGATATTTTTGCTTGAATAAGGGTATTTTTTTAAAAGGATTTAGTGAAAAATACACAGCAGTGCATTAAACTGAGATGGTGAGTACTGTAAATTTACAGTCCTCAGTATCTCAGTTTAATACAATGCTGTGCATTTTTTTACTTGAGCCTCTTTGGAAAGTTGTCAACGACTTTGCTCACCATCTCCAAAGATAAACTAATGCACTGATTGTTCCTTATTTGCAATGAATGTTGTTGTTTTTGTTTGAACTGAGGTGATGAAATAAACCATTTGGTCTAGTTTTGAGATCATTTCCTTAAATGATATGAATCAGGGTTCAAGTCAAACTGATCTGCCTAATATTTTAATAACTGTTTCCTGACTATTTGAATTCTATTTATTCAAATTTTTAGGCAGTTTAGTTTCCTGGTTGCCGAGAAACTCATAAATATATAAGGGTGTACTTATTTTCCGGGCACCCTGTATATGTTTTTGATGATAAGATTTTCACATTGTAAAGTATAACATAAGTCTTTTCAAAGTTTCCACCCCTGTAAAGGTACTCCAATATGATATGCATATTTAGGGCATAGTGTTGGTAAATTTTAAGCCAATTGCACTTTGCAATGCTTCTGAAAGATAAACCCAGGTAGTGGTTGATCAATATTTCTAACTCTGGAATTACTGGTTCCAAGAATGACAAGGGCCATTGGAAAAAAGCTGCTATTATGTGAATGGAAGCATTCCTTATGTCATCATCAAATGATGTCTATGCATGGGTATTTGGGTTCTAGCCCCAGGACTTCATAACAATTACTATTCCAGCATTTCTGTTACTTCCCAGTGCAAACATTTTCTTCTCACTTAAAAAGTCCAGCTAATCAGATAAATATTAGGGCTGTCACAAAAGCAGTTTTAAAAACATTGATGCATTGACCTGAACTATACAGGGTGGCCCAAAAGTTTTTGGACCGATTTTTAAATGCCAATATCTCGGAAAGTATTGAAGCTAGAGACTTGAAAAAAATCACCAAATAAAAGTTCAATTCATCCTCTTTCCAATGATGTATGGTTTTCCAGTCGTAGGTGTCATGCCATGGCCGCAATGGTCATTTGAAAAAACCATGCTTGAAAAAAAAAGTTGTAAACTGAGGAAAAAAGTCACAAGTTCATTTTTAAGAGACAGAAACGGAGCTAACTTTTTATTTTTCGATGAAATGTTCAATGTGACCACCATTTTGATTCACTACAGCATTCAATCTCTTCCTCCACTTCAAAATGGCCTTCGAAATCCAAGTCTGGGAAAGCTCATCCCATGCTGCAGAAATTCGCTCCTTTAGGTGCTGGACGTCGCGGATTTTTGAACCTCGGTACACCTTCTGCTCCATAGCCGACCAGATGAAGTAGTCCACTGGGTTCAAATCTGGGCTGCAGGGTGGCCAGTTTTCAGGCTCGATGAAGTCAGGACAGTTACTGTTAAGAAAGTGCACAGTTTTCGTTGCTGTATGGGCTGGGGCGCCATCTTGCTGGAAGACATAATCTGGGCTCTTTTCCTCGATTTCAGCCAGCATGGGGGTCAAAACATCTTCACAATAGCTGTCCGCATTAATTTTAACTCCACGTGGGATAAAGAAAATTGACGTTTTCGCTGATGACGTGGCCCCAAGTGAAACCATTACAGACTCGGAGAAATGTTTCCGTTCACGCAGAAGTCGGTCTGGCGGTACGTTTCTTTTTCTTTCAACAGCAGCATGGACGCGGTCGTTTTGAGTGTTTCGTGGTGTTTCGACACTGAACCGCTTCTCGTCGGAGAACCAGATTTTTTTTACAGCTTTGTTGCTCCGAAACCTGTTCAATAGTTTTTTGCACCGAACTAGACGTTTCTTCTTGATTGCTGCTGACAGCTCATGGACAGGAACTCGCTTGAAAACTTTCAATTGCAGGTCCTTTTTGATTATCCGTTGAACAGACGAACGTGAAATTCCAGTTTCCTTGGACGCTTCTCGCTCACTTTTGCTTGTGCCGGGATTCCCTTCTTGGCTCAATATCAATTCACGAACACTTTCGATGTTTTCTGTAGTTCGCGCAGTTTTTGGTCGCCCTGTTACCGGACGACGCTCGTCACTTCCAGTTTCTTCAAGTTTTTTCAAAAAGTAAGCAACGGTGGACTTCTTCCACTTTCGGTTCGGAAATTCTTTTAGAATTTGATTCAATGAAAATCCTTTTTCCTCGCGAAGTGCACGAATGATTTTTTGATCACTTAAAGATAAACCGCGATTGACACTCATTTTAAGACCCCGTGGAAATAAAAACGGGTAATACAAACATTTTTTTCAAAAAGAGGAACAAAAGATGTAGCAAGGAAGTGCATACGAGGTCTGCCGAAAACCAGAAGAGCCAACAGTTAACAACTGAACTCGTCTGAGCATCGAAGCGTGGGCGTCTCACTTGTCCCGCATAATCCCTCACTTCCTCTTCCCTAGCTGTCTGCTGGTCAGCATCTTACAATTTCTACGCACCTAATGGTCCCAGTCGAGGTGCACTTGCCTGTCTGGTCTTCCCGGGTGTGACACGGATGCAGGATAGTAGCATCAAAATATCCTTGCAGCTCTTTTTTCAGGTTTGGTTTTTTCAAATGGCCATTGCGGCCATGGCATGACACCTACGACTGGAAAACTATACATCATTGGAAAGAGGATGAATTAAACTTTTATTTGGTGATTTTTTCAAGTCTCTATCTTCAATACTTTCCTAGATATTGGCATTTAAAAATCGGTCCAAAAACTTTTGGGCCACCCTGTATATAGTGTATTGATGCATGGGGGGGGGGGGTTGGGTTGGGTTGTGCAGGAGGATTCGATCTTTTCTCGCCGCGATTGGGCAGAGGTTTCACTTCTTTCACTTCTTGCCTCAATCAGAATGCGGACCTCTATCCGTCTTCCATAATCCCACACTTATGATCAAGTGTGACATCTGCAACAAGTAATGAAACCTACCAACCTATCATGCTTCCAATTATTGAAGGTGGTATCCATTCATCGATGGATCCATCAAAACTGCCCTATTTTTTTTTTCTCTTTTTCTTTGTTCCACAAGGTCTTCTTTGGACATTGGCACCAGCAAATAGCAGACCTGCTGATAGTGCCATACCAGTGGTTGCCGAAACATCGGTACAGCCCTAGATTCAAGCAATGTCCATGTAAAAGAAATTCATTTTGGGTTCACCTAAGTAAGGAGGTAAAATTCCCTAGGGCAAGTTAAACATAAAAAACTTAAGCCTGCCAACTAAAGAAAGACAGGAATATAGAGAGGGAGATCAACCAATGTACGTTTTGAAATCAAGGGAGTGTAACAGTCCACTTTCGCAGTATGCACCTGATGAGATCAAGCCGAAGACTGAATTGGAATAGAAAAAAATATTCTCCATCTTCCCTTCCTCTCCTTTTCACTTTCTGTCTCCGATTCCAACTTTTTTTTCCCCTCCCATCTTTCATATAGTCAGTCTCAGCATTTCCAGAATTTGATTGTGATAAGAAATTGCAAGCCCATGCAGGTCACGTGGCCTCTTCCTTTCCCCACACAGTATTGTACTGTACTCACCTCAATCAAATGGGACATTTCCCCTTTGAAATCTTTCACCGATACATTGCAATGGTAGAAAAAAGTATTGATACCTCCAACCATCAATAGTGGTATCAATGCATCGATCTATTGTGACAGCCTTAATAAAAATAGTACAGATATAGAGGATGCAGTTTTCCCCCTTGTCAAATCCTCACCCTGCTGATTCACTGGATAACTGTCAAAGAAGCAGTTATTGTAAGGTTTAAATGCACTAGGTAGAGCTCTTAGTCATGTTTTTACACTGGCTCCCAAACCAATCATGAGTGACAGTGAGAACTGAGGGTGTATGACACCTATGCAAGTGTCTGTCTTGTTGGAGGAGAGAGAGGAGGTATGAAAAGTCCAATATCTTGAAGAACCATAAAGCATTGAATGGATTGGGAGGTTTTCTTGTTTTTATGCATAAAGAACCATGAGGCTCCCTGAACATCACAGGCTTCCATCTACCAAAAAAAAGGAAAAAAGAAAAACTCATCCTCCCTTCTAGTTTTTCCAGGAATTCCATCTACCACTGAATATCTCCTGCATAATTTCCAGCACTTCTTTGCAATTCTCAGTCTTCTGTTTTTGTGGGTGAATCACTATGGCAATATATGAGAGAACTGCCAAATATTTGCCTGGTGTGGCCTACAATAGGACCCTCATACAATATGCTATACAGGACACTCTAAAACACTTCTGTTGTTTCCTCTTGTTTCCTCTCACTAATATGATTTCTTCCTTCATAGCTATGAAAAATTAACTACTTGAAGGGTAAACTACTTCAGCCACAGTGATGCATATGTGTTCATAATGCTGTGTGTTTCAAAAATCCCTGTGATGACCAGGATGACTAGTCCTTGTCGCTGGTAAACTATCAGGTCCCCAAAAATGTTTTTTCGTTTTTATTAGGTTACCACTTTGAACTATTTTTATATGCTTATGCATAGGGTGGTGCTGGTTTGGCCTATGTACCACTTGAAAGAGCATGAATAGGCCTACCAACTTTCGTATAGTAAATGAGCAAATCAGCCTATTTAGAAGTGTGACGTGAGCGAGACCATGCCGGCCACTTCAGAAGTTATTTGCAGGTGTTTGTTGTACGACTTCAAACTCGGTAAGGCGACACAGGCTGCTCGAAACATTTGCAAGGCATTTGGAGAGAACACAGTTAGTGAGCGTACAGTGCAAAATTGGTTTAAGAAATTTTCTTCTGGCAGTGAAACACTAAAGTTGAACCCCGATCTAGAAGAAGATCCATCATTAATGATGAGCTGAAAGCACTGATGTGCTAACAAAGTTTTTGTGTTTGATCTAAATTCAACTCAAGAAAATGAAAATACTTTTTTGGGGACCTGATATCTTGAGAACACAGTTAATTTCTTTTTTGGATACCAGAACTAAAACATTTTGTGCATCATCGAGCTATTTCATGGTAATGTTGTTCAATTCATTTGAATAGGAACTGTAAAGTCTTGGGTTTTTGTCAGTTGACTATTTGGCATTTTCTCCAACAGCTCCTAAATACGGTTTTTACAGTAAAAGTCTGAAATACAATGGCATACAGTGCCATCTCTTATTTAGATGCTTCCAATTGCCACTGGTAGGAGTACAGGCTGCTTCATGGATACTGAATCCAAATACCTCTTCTCATTCAAAGCCGCATGTTTTTATTATTATTTTCATGGTCCTACACTATGCTTAATAGTTGAGCCTTTTAGAATCCCTATAATAGGATTCTCACAGCTTCATTTCTCCATGTGAAACTGAACCAGGCAAAAAAAATTGATTGAACTTTTTTTCCCTTCCTAGGTGAAAAGAGGTGGAGGAGAAGAGGAGGAGCATGAAGGAGAAAGAGAGAGAAGGCCATATACATTCCGAGGACGAATGGGCTATAATCCTCGGTTTCAAGGATACCGAGGACGCTGGCCAAGGTCAAGTCAACGTGGCTGGAACCCCCGTGGCAGAGGCCCTCGCTGGCGTGGATCTGGTGTCTACATCCCTCGTCGAAGGAGGTCTCATTCAAGAGACCGCTACCATCGTCGATATAGATCTCGGTCACGTTCTCGAGACCATCGCTCGCGTTCACGTTCCCGAGACAGGCACTCACGATCGTGCTCCCAGAAAGAACTGTCACGATCACGCTCTCGTGATGAGCAGTCACGATCCCACTCTCGAGAGCGACAATCACGGTCAAACTCCCGTACTCAGTCCTCCCACAGACCTGTAGTTTCCAGAACATCTCGCTGGGAGACAGAACCAACAGATGATGTAACACCCCCACGTCCCTCAGAAGCAAGAATCAATGCTCAAGATGCAATGGAGAAGCTGAAAAAGGAACAGGAGAGGCTGAGGTTGTTAACACAGGCAAAGCACCAAGAAGAACTTGAGCGGGCACAGCAGATTGAGCTGGCACGACGGAAGATCAATGAACAACTAGAAAGCATTGATCAGGGGAAAGGACGGAAACCCATTAGCATGACACTGTCAGGAAAGAAGACTGCACTGGAGATCATGGCTGGCAAGTGGGCTGATGATGAAGAAGGAGGTGGCCTTGAGACCAAAGAGGGAGAAGTCAAGAGTGAAAGCAGAGGTGACAGTCCAGCGCCTGGGCTGGGACGTCGTGCTCCTGTTATGAAGAGTCTTCAGGAAGTGGAAGATTTCATTCAGAAATCCAAGGAAATGCTGAAGAAGAGGCAGCAGGATGTTGAAGACAAACCCAAGAAATTTCTTAGGCCTAGTTTTCTCTGAACACCCCCTGTTACATACATACATTTACAGGTAATGGATTACTGAGTGATAAAGCATAAAACACCAGAATCTATCCCATTGTATTCCTCTTGTTCTGGTAAAAAAAAAATAATAATAATAATAAGGATCAATCCAGTCATTTTTTGGTTACCCTTGTTGGGAAGAGATGAAGGTTGCAACTTTCCAAAATGACTAAGTTGGACTGGTAAGGGAGTTTTCTGGAACTACCCTGGGGCAACTGCAAGCACCCTACCTTTCCCAATGCATTACAATAAACACAATAATAACTGATGAAAAAGATTGTAGTAGTTATGATGCTATTGTTGTGTGCTCCACCTCCATAGGAAGACTATCTATAGGCAGTCTGGAACATGTTTAGAATCTGTTCCCACACCCATATTTTTTCTCAAGACCACCTGAGAGCAATGTATAAGGTTACTCGGAGGGAATTGGTGCTTGAGAAAGGGAAGCACCTCCCTTGACTAGTACACTTTGGAGCATTTCATGGTTTTACTCTCTATTATTCTCTATGGAGAATATGGGAGACAGGGACAGTCTTGTTGAATGGAGGTGGAGGAAAACACTCATTTCCTTTGGTACTGTAAGTGCCATTGCTGCCTCCAAATTCTCCTATTGAATAATTTAATCAACTAGGGGCTTGAGACTCTGACTCATGTTTCATCAGCTCATTTGGGTTTTCATTAAACCCTAAGTAACTAACCTCAGAGAAGAAGCGATAAATACAGACCAAAGGAGTCACATTTCTTTTATGCTGGCCTGAAAGAGTGATAAATTCAACCTATTTTGGGGAATGATGAGTCAGTTGGGTTGGGAAGTAATTGCAACCAAAGACCATGACTCTTTTCTAATCCCAACTGACCTATCCTTCCCCCAAATAGGTTGACTTCCTCTCTCTTTGGCCTTTGACACTGAACCTGTGGAAAGAGCAATCAAAAAGGATGAATGAGATCATCATGGTAGAATGCATACGACAATGGCACTAAGAACTTGAGCAAGATGTCCCACATCTGGTGTTCATGTCCTGCACAAATATTTTAACTAGACTTGGCTTTGCTGAACAGCTTAAGCCTGGTTGTGGACCCTCAATCTAGGAATGTCACCATGAATGCAATGAGGCAAAAAAACTTAAGGATGATGTTCAGGGGAATAGGGGCATTAATATTGCTCCCATGCTGGTGAAAGCAAGGTTTTCCCATTGCCACACTTATTAGTAAACATGATTGAGAGTTTTGGTGATAAAAAGGGTTTTCTGAAGTCAATAAATTTATCTTTAATTTGCATTTTAAAAATCCAAATGGATTTTCCTGCACTTACTATAACTTAAATTCTGAAAAATCTGAACATTTCTTGTTACTCCCCCTCCACTGCCTTATAGAGGGTGATGAAAATGACTGGTAAAATCTTTTGGTGTGCTCCCACTACAGGGGGGAATTGTTGCTGCAAAATGGTTTATTTAATTAGCACAGCTATATCGCCAGAGAGTTCCATTGGCTTGGATAAGGTAAATTTCTCATTTTTTATATGCTTATAGGTGATGTTGATGTTATTGGAAGTTTATGCTTGAGGTGGAAACAGTATCCTAAAATTGGACTTAGACCATGGTTCACTCAAGGAGTCGAACAAGAACACCTTCCCCATCAGTGAGTCGAAAACACAAGTCAAAGAAGCATCGCCGCTCACGCTCTCGAGAGCGCCGCCGTGACCGAGACAGAGATCGGGACCGGGACCGGGACCGGGATCGAGACCGGGATCGAGACCGTGGCACCAGGCCCAGGTGTGTGTTTAAAAGTTTCCTTTTCTCAAAAGGCAGTCATGATGACATTGCAACTGGTATTGCAGCAGGGTTGGTAGAAGGCGATCCTTATCAGCAGGGTCTTCAAGCACCAGCTCAGATGTCGAGGTTGTCTCCCGCAAGAAGCACAAGAAGATGGATGAGGTGGAACGACTCGCTGAGCTTGAAAGACAAAGGTCACCTTCGTTGTCAAGTTCCTTAATGCTATTTAAAAAAATACTACAATGGAGAAGCAGTGGCAGTTGTATAGTACATTAAAAAAAACTTTAAGTTAGGATGTTTATGAAAACAGATCATTCAAATGGGTAGACACTCTTTGTTAATGAGAAAGTCAGAGATTTCCAGGAGCTTTGTCTAAGCCACTCACTTGGGGCGATAAATGTTTCTGCATGAATTCTGAGACATGTCTGTCTTTTTCAATTAAGTTTGAATCTCAACAAGGGGTAGGAATGGAGAACATCTTTATCACAATTTGGATGTATGTGGTAGTAGTATCTCAAACCCTATTGCAGGTGATTTTAAGACAGATTGGGAATCTTTTCCACTGATTTTTTTCAGCATGATTTTCTTAATTTTTTATGTTCAGTGTTTTCCTTAAAACATCTGGCATGCATTTCTCCCCTCAAGTGTCTTCTTCACTCTGGTTTCCCACATAAAAATATCACATATGGCAGGCAGTGTGGTTTTATGTGGTCATTTATTAGTATATTTTTTACTTGCTATGCAATCCATTTGGCTTTCCCATATATTTCCACATATGTAATCATATATGACTGATCATATGATGTTTCATGTATTACATTTAAGTACATGATTTCTAGTATAAAAGGCTAGTGGAATTACATGTAGAATATAGTGATTATCTACAGACCAACTTCAGCTTTGCTAATGAATATGGTCTGACATCATGTATAAAGGTCATTTTGGAACTTACTGCAACTAATTATTGTTGCATAAATTACATCATATACCTGTATATGAACACTAATGAATGAGTAACTTACAAAGTAGTTCCCCATAGGTACATGACAGAGTTCCTTCTGTATGGCAATCATATTGAGACTGTTATTTAACACGTTGATGACCAGCCTATTTTTGCTTGTCCGCTGCGTGGGACCACGTGCATTTTTTTTGTCAAAAAATGCGTCCTGCCATCAGGACGCATGGTCCCAGAAAACATTTTTTTCGCCAAGTTTTTTTAAAATGTTGAATTTTTTTTTATTTTTATCAGTAATTACGAAATCATAATCTTCTGGAACGTTCTCAACAGTTCCAGAGGGTATTCATTGAAAAAAAATCTGCATCCTGGCATCAGGACGCATTGTCGCCAACGTGTTAAAAAAAATAGAAGCTTATAGATCAACTATTAATTTGGACAGATTCTTTTTAAAGTATTGTCAAAATTTTCATTGATGATTTTCATTGCTCCAGTAACTTGGTTCTCATGAGCAATCTTAAAATTAGACTCCCAAGAGTTTCAATTCTGAGTTCCTCTAGAGTAGTAACTGCATTGTACCATCAGCAATTGTTAATCAGTTGGTATCAGAACTATGGCATGGTCATTGAGTGCAGAAAACCAATGGCCACAGAGGGGTTTTTGTGGGTAGTGCAGTATGGCTGCCATACTTTAGGAACTGTCATGAAACTCTTAGGGGATTAACTTTAAGACTGCACATCTATAAGTGTGCTGGTTCAAGGTAAGTGGTGAAAAAAAATTAGTTCCAATGGCTTCTGAAATAACCCTTGTATATATATGGACCCTTGTATGGTTTCAGGCCTGGACAAGATATTGGTATCTGACTGCGAAAAGGGCATTTAAGCAATTTTTAGAACAATTGAGTTTTTGGCATCACTGAGTTCAGCTTATCAAGCAGTATTTCTTGCCAAAAGGACATTTGCCTATCTTTTGCCATTTAGGAATAATGGGATTCTAAAAGGGCATTCAAACTGATAGGACTTTAAATTCTTATTTTTGAGGAAGTTTTTTATTTCTCATGTAAAATTTGAAGAAGTACTCAAATGCCCTTCTTGAGGTGAGGTATCCATATGACTGCATATAGAGACAATACTGGAATGTTCTGGACCCTGAAAATTGAGAATATTTTTCACCTTTTAGGGGCATTGCAATTAAGGAGCCCTTTTGATTGAGCCTATTTTAGTTTTGAATGCCACCCATTTGTTCAAAGCAAAAGAAGACTGATATTGTGAAGTGGTATTGAGCTGCAAGAAGTCCATCCTCTGTTCAGCAGAGGTTCCAGGTAAAATATGGGAGGGCTCCACCTGCCAAAACGTCAATTTACAATGTCCATGTGAAGTTCCTGCAACATGGAAGCATTGACAATGTGTGGAGTCAAGGGAAGCCAAAAACAGCAACGTCTCCTCCAGAGGGTCAAAGGGTGGGTCCTTGCAGAGTTTCAGCAACACCCAAGCAGTCCGTCCCAAAGGCAGGATCAATTTAAACAAGTCAGAAACATCAGTCCACAACATCTTGAAGAAGCAGCACTTGAAACCCCACAAATTGTGTAAAGTGCAAGGCCTTGACATGGCAGATTTCCCACAGCAAGTGAACTTCTGCAATGATATCTTTAAAAAAAATTGATCTAGATGATACCTTCTTAAAGCACATCATCTTCAGTGATAAAGCTGTTTCATACTTGGATGGAAGGGTTAACAGGTCCCATCTTCACCACTGGAGCAGTCAAAATCCACATCGCTATGAAGAGGCATTACATGGCTCACCTAGGGTCAATGTGTGGGCAGGTATCTGGTATGGTGGAATTTTGGGTCCATATTTTTTTTTAAGATCTTCCAGAAAATCCTCAAACTGTTAATGGTGCCAGTGACCTTGCAATGCTTCTGGTGAATATCATGCCCGAGATTCATCAGATCCCACACCGTCAACAGCGAATGGCATACTTTATTCCTCAGTTGCTTCTCTGGTATCAACACAATGGTGCACCAACTCATAATGACAGAAAAGTTCACAGTTTCCTTCACGTTAACTTTCCGGAGCGATGGATCGGTAGAGGAAGTGCAATGGAGTGGCCAGCAAGATCTCCTGATCTGACCCCATTTAACTTTTTTTTTCAGCTCCCAACTGGCTCTCATGGGCACCTTCAGGGTTCTATTCAGTGGTACCTTCAGATCATAACCTGGCTCTATGTGTCACTTTCAAGCTCAGGGTTCAGAACTTCCAGGACACACTGTATATGTTGCAATTGTATAAGTCAAGATGTGAAAATATATGGGATCATATATTTTCATCCATTCATGATTATACAGGGTGACCCAAAAAAAAAGCACCAATTTTGATAGGCAATAACTTTTGAACAAATGAACCTTTTTTCATGTTCGAAACAGGAATTGAAAGGTCTATTAATCCTCTTTCCATCACCATTCATCAAATTTCCTTCAAAAGAATTGGAGCAATTGCAATTTAAGTGCAACGACCCAAAAGAGTGGATGAACAAGCCTTGCTTTTTGTTTACCCTCTCTGTATGCAGCATCCTTTGGCATCCTATGGCGATTTTCTGTTGCATGCTTACAACTGCTGTGTCTTTCAAATTTCATCTGATGAAAGTGCATTTAAAAAAGTTCATTCCAGTCATTTTCATGGTTGCTATTTAAATGATTATTGGCTCAAAATCGGTTTTACGAGCATGTGGCCATTGTCTCCCTGGTCACTTATTATCAATTGCTCTCATACTGAGTTGCAGCAGTCGTAGACTGCTATAACAGTTTTTTTTTTATTAGAGCAAGATCTCTGTCATTTATTTTAGGCATTTTTAGCAAAGCAATTTCACCTGAAATGCAAGGAAGGAAAGATTTAACCTTTTTTAGAAAATTTGACATTCCACCTAATTTTTGGCATGCTAGCCTATGTTTTTTAAACTTATTTTATTGTAAATAGATTAGCCTTAGCTTGGCCTAGCTTATAAACTAAGTTAACTTATTGTGGCAAGCAATCATGTATTCTATGTATGTAAACTTCAAGTTGAAATTGATATATTTTAGAGCACATTTGGTTGTGATTCCTCAGAAAATAATTGCAACCCCCCATAATTTTAGAGCCAGCAAGCTGAAATTCAGCATACAAACTCCAACTGGGTCACCCTATTTGCCTACTAAATTTCATCAGAATCACCAGCCTACAATTAGATTGACACCTCACCAAGAATGACTGCTTTGTTTTTTTTTTTTTTTTTTGGACCACCCTGTATGTGCATTCAATGCTTGGAACAGTCAACTGCAAATAATGGCTACCTCCATTGAAGGGACACCCAAGGAACATTAGAGGGCTGTGATACAGTTTTTCTGTGTAGAAGGTGCAAAACCACTAGATATCCTTCACACAATGGTTGCTATTTATGGTGAGACTCATCCTAGAGATGAGTATAAGAATGGTGCAAAATGCACCATTTGTGGTGGATGCCTCTATGTTGAGGACAAACCTAGACCCAGACAAGCTATGTTGTCATCATGGACAACAGCATCATGAATGTGAATGAGGTGACAGGAGCAATTAGACACACGTTTCTGGATGCCATAACTGCTTAAGTGGAAATTAACCCTGGATCTATGCACACATTCATCAAGATTGCCTCCAGTCTCATTTGGTGTGTGCCAAACAGATACTGAAGTGCCTGAATGAAGACCAGAAGGATGTCAGCTTGGGTCTTGGTCTTGAATATCTATCAGTGCTACCATGCTGAAGGGACAGCTTTTGCCCAGAATCATGGCATGTGATGAATCTTGGTGTCTTTCATTTTGAGAATAATGCCCTATGAAGAGGGTGTTGAGAAGCCAGTGATACCACTTGGATGATGACATGGTAGAGGCAGTGCAAACATGGTACCAGATGCCAATATTGATCTATAACAATGCCATAAAAAAAAAAAACAGGTTGAGTGGTGAGACAAGAATCTCAACGCCAATAGAGGGTGTTTTCAATTAATGCTGCATGCACAACCAATAGAATTATTTGCTATTTCAATTTGGCTGACTCTAGTATCTATTAAACCAGTTACATTAATGATTGTATTATATATGGTCTTATATGGAATTTTCACATGGATTGACAGTATGTTTCAGGATAAACTAAGAATTATTGACTTTATGACAATACTAGTATGAATGGACCCTGTGCTCACCTCCATGCCTCCTCCCTGTTCAGGGGGGAATTAATATATATTCATAATTTAGGCAGATCATTAAATTCTCACATTTCAGATGTGGATAGGGTAGGAAGTGTATGCTGCATGTTTTGGAATGGGTGAAAAGGTGTTTTCTTTAGTCTCAACTTGCTCAGCATTGTTTAAAAACTTGGGACCTACCTTGCAGTGAGATTGTCATTGACTTTTGCATGATCCTCTTGGCACATTCTTTCTCCCAACCTTGCAGTGAGCATTTGACTATCCCAATTTGACTTTTACTCATGAACTCCTAAATTATTGAAGTAACCTATGTGTAAAGTGGACAGAGGTTTTGTAGAATTGTGTCCAGGCTATCAGCTTCCAAAAGTAGTTGGATATTGAAAATGGGCAAGGACTTATGCTGACATTGGGGCGGAGGAGGCACCTTGGCACTTGTTATCCAGGACACATTGAATTTCAATCTTTGGACTGGCCTTTTCTTGCAGATGGCTATCAGCTTTTTTCAAATGAATGATTGATGAATCAATGAACATCAATGCAACATTTCTTTCTTTCTTCAGATTTTCCCCTGGTTTACTTCAGAGATTGGAGTGGGTGGAGTCTCATCACTTCAGACTCTCCTGTCTCTTTTTAATTTTTTATCAATTGGAATAATTGCCAATATCCTTGCTTCAGCTAAACCAATTTGGATGAAGATTTGTTGGAAACTTCAATCTATGGCCACATAAAAGCAGCTCCAGTGAGAGCAGAGGTATCCTCATAATATCCAAGGATCATCTATCCACTATTTACTGTATTGGAAATGGTTTTCAGACAACTTCAAATCAGTTGGGGTAATTTTATTTGTAATTATAGGTCATTATCACTTCCATCATTATTTATTTTCCCATTTGCAAAATGGCTTAAAAATTGCAAAATATGAACACAAGTAATCTGAAGTGAGCAGAAAGTCATTTACGTGACTGCTCTCCATGTTACAATTAATAATTAAAGGATCATAAATGGGACTTGCAGGATTACTTTTAGGTATATTTATATTCCTTGGCTTTCTTCTTGCCTTACACATTTTATCCACCAATGGGGTTTACATTCCCATTACCATGTTTCTTTTAGATTTCTAGGCAGAAACTACTATGGCAGAATTTTTTTTAAACATTCTTCATCCATCTGATTTGTCTTCTAAAGGAGTTCAAGGTGTTAGCACCAGAAGAGTTGGGAATGGGCTTTGATGAAAGGTATATCTTAAAGCAGGCGGCATCGGGAGCAGGAGCAGCGGCAGGTGGAGGAGGAGACACAGAAGCGGATTGAGGAGATGGTACGAAAGCGGGTAGAGGAGGAGCTGGAGAAGCGAAAGGAGGAAATTGAGGCAGAGGTCCTCCGCCGTGTTGAAGAGGCCAAGCGCATCATGGAGCATGAGATGCTGGCTGAGATGGAGCGCCACAAGCAGCATCAATTGGAAGAGATGCGCAGACAGGAGGTCAGTCTTCGTCCCTTATCCTTTCCTTCAGCCGTGGGACCGTCTTTTCTGAAGCAAATACATCAATTGATCTCTCAGATCATTAAAATGCTCAAGCTCTGTGATCCATTTCATGTGACAGCCTCTGATGATGCAAATACACTATAGCACATGTTCAAGACTGTGTTTGAAGGTCATTCATCCCCTTCTGTTTCCCCATCCATTCACAATCCAATAGCTGACAGGTACCTGTATGTTCTTCACTATGCTTTCTGTCTAGGTGCTTCATTATATATTTATTACTGCCCATGTGCCTTTCCTGGCTCTGTTGTAATTACTTTCCCTCTGCATTGTCATGCCAGATGGATAAAGATAAATGATTCTTCACTCATTATATGCCACTTTATGCTGATCACCGACTTGTTGTGTGCGTGTGTGCAAGTGACCAAGACCGAGACCCTCAGGAATAAGCCTGTTAAATTCAGTGGAAGGTGAATTCCTGAATCGTGAAAAAGAACTGATGAATTGGAAAGATTGGTCCTTGAAAGGAAGTTAATTCTTAGTGCGTGATAATACCACTTCACTTAATTCCATGAAAAAAAAAAAAAAAATTATTCTTCCCTTTGAACTCATGTCTAAGTCCCTCTTATTGTGATCCATATCAGGTCATGGAACCTGATATGGAACTATACTGTAGAATTCATACTCTACATTACACCTATAGGTAAACAGCAGCTTGGACAGAGGAGAAGCTGAGTCAATGCATTTTATGAGATAATTTAGAGTTGAAACCTTAAAGAATTGTCTATCACAATGAAGAGCAATCAGTGTTGATGGGGTTTGCACAAGGTAGAGGTCTGTAAGGGGCATATCACAATTTCCATGCCATGTGTCCTTTGTATTAATGCTTCGGAAGGTGGTCATGCATGTCCACCTACACCCAAGGGTTTTCACTAAATGCAAGGCTTGTATTTTCAATTGAACTCATCCCATTTCTTCATCCAAGCCTTGAGATTGGGTAAAACCAGGTGTAAGTGGACATGCACATGCATGTGCACTTGCCTACCTGGCCAAGCATCCACACAAAGAACCCATGAGACATGTATGAATGCAAGATGACAATTGAGTTTCAGGACTGAATTTTTTATATTAGTATGGTGGAATCATTACAATTATTGCCATGCTATGGACTGATACATTGGACTAATAGGTAGTATTATGCAGTTCCTCATCTGACTTTGCATTGTGAGTGAGAGATAGGGTGGCACTAAGCAACATAGTGTATAAAGCACCTGTCATATTCCTAGAAAGTAGCAATGCTTCATCAAATTTTGTCTCAAACTTGGGAATACAGCTTCAAAGATGCATCAAATGTTGCATTAACCATAATTTACATTTTACCTCATCACATTAGAAAAATGTTTTAAGGTTTGTTATGTTTTGAGCCAGTAGAGGTGTCAAAGATGATGAGAGGTGTGGCCAACTGTCATCTAGTCACAATGACAAAAGTGTTGCAATTGTCCTGCAGTACCAGCTTCCAACCTTGAGAACCATTCAAAAGCCTGAGAATGTGATGACATCCTGTCCATACATTTGTTGGGTCTCTGAAGCTGTTTTCCCCAGTTTGAAACAAAACTTCATTACATTGCTTTATCCTAGGAGTATGAAAGATACTTTAACCTGTGTGTCACTTCATTGCCACCTTGACTCTCATTTGTGATGCAAGTCAGATGAAGTGAAGACTTGCACAGCACTGTCCAACAGCTCAATATACCTGTCCATGGCATAGCAATAATTATAATAATTCCACCTTGTAATAAAAAATTCAGTCACACCATCAGCCATGCAGCTTAATCATCACACCTTGTGTCATTTCTTGTAATGTGTATCTGAATGTGTTGGTATGACATAATCATGGAAGTGCTCCTCATATAGTATTTTGCACTTAAGTCAGACAATTGTTAACTTGACTTGGACACTTGTGCATGGGACTCTCTTTTTGCATGAGTTTGAGAGTCAAGTGAACAAATGTCTGCCTCAAATGAAGAACACAAGTACTGAGTGGGCCAAAAAAATATTGGTTTATCTTTAACATTTCACAGTATAGTTTCCCAAGAGTTTGAAAATATAAGAATAGTATCTCTATATAAAACATTTATCTAGCTTTCCATTGATGTAAAGAAAATGTAAGATCCATTCTGTCATTTCAATGCAGTTACATACAGTGTAACAGGTAGCTCTTGAAAAGTGCAATTACCAGTACCCTATTAGATGTGCTCCAGGTGACATCCATTCCTTTGCTTGCACATTTGCAATCTTGCCAGGATGTTGTTTACTATTCCAGTGCCACCTCTTGTACTCTTTATCTAACTGCATGAAAGTTATGCCATGAATCTTTATTCTATTGACATCATTGGAAAGCTGAATGAAAGTTCTATACAGAGGTGCTATTGTAATTTTAGCAAATTCTTAGGGACCAGTGCTATGGATTGATAAAGATAACCCAAGTTTATTTTGGCCTACCCTGTATTATTATCCCATGGTTTGATGGTCTCACAATAAAAAATTATGGGAAATTGCTCTCTTCTCTTTTGTGGGGTGCTGGTAACATGATAGAATCATTTAGTCTGAAATTTCACTTGGGCTAGAAGTCATCATGTTTGGTCCTGGTTTGCAATAGCTCTTCAGTGTACCCTGCATTGGCTCTTGCTTCCTTATTGGACCCATCCTGATGCCTCAGAATAGGGCATTTTCACCCTGTTTATCCAACTCCTCCGGCCAAATAGCTCATCTCCTAAGCCTAGAGATAATACATGGAGCTTTATTCACATCCCCTGGGAAGAAGAAAAAGGGAAAATAAAAGGAGAGATGGAGGAGTAGAGGATCTCTAGGCTAAGAGGGCATTCATACACAGGAGTGCGAAAGAGGAGAATGGCAGGAGTGGCTCTGTCGAGCAGAAAACCCGTCCAACACCCTATCCGTCTCTCCCCCAACGACGTAAGACCAACTCCTTTCTGGTAACTTTTCTCATTTCTTGATTCCTGGTAAGAATCCTGATTGATGGTATTGGTCTCTCCCAGAGCCCTGCAAGGATGTGAATTTTTTTTTCAGACACAGACTTAGATACCATCCTGCAGGGCATAGAATTTTCATTGTGGATGGAAGAAAGAAAAGTTGTACATTGATTTTGAATTTTGAATTGAGTGGATCAAGATGCCTCAATTTGTGGTCAGGAATAACATGAGATTGCATTTGGGAAATTTGCAGGAGGAGGAGAAGAAGAAGCGGGAGGACCTTGAGCGCATCATGGAGGAAAACAATAGGAAAATTGAGGAGGCTCAGAGGAAACTGGTCAGTTCAAGTCTTCATATTATTTGATGATTTTCAATTAAAGGAAGGAGAAATGCTAAGTTTCACATCTTCAGGCTGAGGAGCGTCTAGCCATGGTAGAGGAACAGAGGCGCATTGATGAACAGCGGCAGAGACTTAAGCGTGACGAGGAGAAGAGAAGGAAAGAAGAACAGAAAGTGATCTTGGGCAAGAACAATGCCAGGCCAAAACTATCCTTTGGTCTCAAGCCAAAGACGTGATTAAGTTGCAAGTCATGTGAGGCCGTGTTGTGTTTCAGACTGTACCTGATAGCATGGATGCTTAAGATGCAGGGAAGTGATTTTGTTTCTTTACTCTCCATTTTCTTCCCTATCCTCCTAATCAGAAAATCCTGAATACCCTCAGTTTCCAGGGTAAATAGTAATGAAGCATCAGCACAGTTTGATAAATTTTGTCAAAAGTACAGGAAGTTGAGGGTATTCAGCGGTAGTGTATTTTGTTTTTGTTTTTGTTTCTTCCATTGCCCCCTGTAGATATTGCCCAGTCTGCACTGAGCCATTTGCATCAAGTCTTCTGTACTGGAATAAAGTATGACAACTTTATTTGGACTTGAAGAAAAGATTTTCTAATAACTTTTCATAGGTATCACAGACATTGAGGCGCTGAAGTCATAAAAATGCCAAATATGGAAACTGGGGGAAGAGGCGGTTCACAATGGTTTTCACCAATTCATTATAGGCTTTTGGGTCCCCTTCATGCTTGCTGATAAAACTGTTGAACCAGGAAAGAAAGTCAGAGTAATCAGTATATGCCTTGATGCCAAGAAGAACCTCCCTGGCATTTTTCCCTCGGGATAAAAATGCTGAAAGACAATGACAAGCCAGGCGGAACTTGACCGAGAACTTGGACTTCTTGCCCAAACCTAAAACACCAAGGAGTCCCTCCTGAGATCGATCTTCAGCAAGGGAATCGCAAGTCTTCATCACAGCCCCAAAATCACCTGATGACAGCTGGAGTTCCATGATACGAGAGAAGAGGAGGAAGAATTTGGGTTCCAGCTGCACATTCACCTTCCCAACACCGATTAGAGAAAGGATTTGGTCACTCAAGGCTTTGGGAGTCTTCTCAGCAACCAAAGAAAAGATATGAATGAAGAGGAAACAACCATCCAGTGCTGCTTGATGAAGGAGGATATTTGGGTCACCTTGAGAGAGACATAGCTTCACATGTGGACTCAGCTGGGTCCATGGTTCCTCCTTGGCCCCACGAAATGTTGCTTGGACACAGCTCTCCAACAGGGCTGCTTTAACAGTGGACTTGACTGTCTGGGACACAACAGCAATGATTGGAAAGAGCAGTGGAGAGGAAGCATCTTGTGTCAAGCCCCATTCATAGAAGGCTTCTCGGGATGCTTCAGGAAGCACATCCACAATCTTAATTGCTTCTAAAAGACCATTTGAAATATCCAGCTTGTCAACAGGAAGCTTTTGCAAGAAAGCAAGGAGATGCATGATGGCATCCTTGGACAGATGTGGTTCCCGGTTCAATAAAGTCTTGTGTTTAGAGCTGCAGAGCACAAGCAATCGGACAACTGCACGAACATAAAGCATGACTTTTTGTGATCCTTGTCGTCCCCCATTAGTGCTGGACATGGCAGCAATTTGCAATAGTGCCAAAACTTGAGCATCAGGTGCATCATCACTGGATGCAGTTGGAAGGATGACCCTTGGATCACAGCTCAATATGAACCACTCAAGTACTTTCTCATAGAAACTTGCTTCAATGTGTGGCAAGGCCTGAAATGTCATTGCCTGATGGAAAAGTGTTTTCAGTTTGGCATGATTTGAGATGTTGGGCTCATGTGACAGCTGGACAAGAAGGAGAAGAAACTGTCCCATGGTTCGGGGAAGCTCTGGATGCATCACTTGAAGGTAATCCTGCCAAGGAATCTGGATGAAAATTGATGCCAAGAAACTGTGGCTTTCAGGGAGATAGTCACCAAGGACACGGCACATGATGTCAATGTCATTGCGTGTTGGCCATGAGGATTCCCATGGGAGTTTCTCTAAGTGGCGGTGTACAACTGCTGAGACGTAGGGAGTGACCAGTTTTGTTGCATAGCAATGGGCATACCATTCCCAAACATGCGAGAGGATCGCCCGTTCTGCAGGGAGAGTTTTGTGAAGGAATGTAATGACATGACAGAATGAAATAATAAAGGCCTCTGCTAAATCTACTTCACCAGGCATCCAAGGCATCTTTCCTTCAAGTGGAGACAGCCAAGGGAAGTAGAAATTGACCAGAAGACTCCAAAGCCATGATAAAAGGCTGTCTGATGGAGTACCTTTATCTCTCAACAGGGAATGAACAATGAGGGCATGTCCCATCATTCCATAGAGATCAGATAATGCTTCCACATAAGGGCCATACAAGGATAAGAGCCCCGATGTGAGGATAGTGGATCTTTCATCTGTCATGCGTCTTGTAAGGAGGAGGACTGTATCATGCACATCTACAAATGACAGGCCTGTGCTCTTCTGAGCATAATTCCAATAAGCAACAGATTTTTCCTCTTTTCGTGTGTAAGTTGGGTCAAGACAGTTTAGGAAGTCATACCACAAATCAACCGGAAGCTGTCGGTTGCGGCTCTCATTGAGCAACATTTCCAGGATTTCACCATAGTGCTCAGGAAAATCACATGAAAGAAGGAGACGGAAATGCAGACAATAGATATCAAACACAAGTTGTTTGTCCTTTGGCACGATGCGACCAAAATCTGTGAGAGCCTTCATAAGGCAAGCAATAATGGTTGAACGTTGACTAGGTTTGGGTCGCTGCTTTTTCAGCCAAGCTTTTAAGTCACATTTGGACAAGAGGACAAACACAACATCCAACTGTGTCACTGGGATTGTTGTGACTCTGGTGTAAATGCGAAGGAAGGTTGCTGGATCACATGATGTCAGGTCCAGCACAGGTGATAGGATGCCAAGGTGCTGTGGTCGACTCACCATCTCTGAGAAAAGTCTCTCACTTTCCTCCATGCGAGTGCTGATGAACTCTTTACCAAGGACTTCAAGAGCAGAAGTGAGGAGCTGTCTTGTGGGAGGGTATAGGCTAAGCTCCTGCGTATACTCTGCCAAGAGGTAGTAAAACAGCTTGCTACCTGTTGCTTGTGCTTCCTGACTCTCAGTGTGGCGATAGAATTTAACTAATTCTGTCACTATGGATTCCATAATGTGAGCTGCCTTACTCATGTTCTCCATTCCATCTGCTCTCAATAGCTGTTTCCATTCCCGCCGATTCTCTTCAATGGCAAAACGAATTCCTTCATTAAGATGGGGGTCCATAAATTCCACAGATACAGTGGCTGCTCCTTTGCATTCCCTCCTGTAGCGAGACCCTTCAGTGCAGGTCACATATAACATGACCTCCTGCCCAACAAATGTGTAGAGATTTGGGAGCTGTTCAAGGAAGGTCAGATCCAGGCCAAGATGTTTGGCCTGGTTGACTCCATATGATTTAGCCACTTCCCGTAAAAGATCCAAATGTGGTCGTGTATGCTCCAGAATGGCCTGACCCCTCAAGAAAGCATCACCCTCAATTGGCTGCACTGGAGATTGAATTTTCTTGACCAATGGGGCTTTGATGTCACCTGGATTCATTTGGAGACGATTGAGTATACGTTCCCTTGGGATAACCTTTTTGGGCTTCCCTTTCTCAGTCTTAAAATTAGCCTTTTGACCCATCCACCAAGAGACACCTTCCTGATAGGCCTCTCCCCTCTTCTCCTGGTCCAAGAATTCCACCCACAGTTCTCCCTGCCCAGCAAACAGAGATTGGAGTCTAGCTGGCTGATACTGACTGGGTAGGGCTGGAAGATAGACATTAGCATCATGTAAACTCAGTTCCTCTAGCCATAATGAATATGTCAGAAGAATATCTTGTAAGATTTCTTTCTTAGTTCCAGCTTGAGCTCTTGCTTCTATCAACTGCTTTTTGAGCCGTTTCAGGAGGCTGAAGTTAGCATTGTCCTCAAAGAAATGCTGCCCAAAACTACCTTTATCCCTGCGGTAAAAGAATCCCATAAAGAACTTCTGCCAGATGATGGGGAGGACTTCACAGTCCACTGGGACTTGTAGAATCAGTTCAGCCCAGCGATAAATGGAGAGTGATGCAGGTGGATGTGCAGCAGATGACAGCTTTAACTCCTTGCAGACCTTCTTCATGATGGCCACCATGTTTTTCTTTGGATGTTGTTCAACAGCTTTCAAAATAGCCCTGAATATTCCCAACTGCTCTTCCCAGTGTTCTTCCACAGTAAAACAGGCTAATGCAAGCCATGGGCACTGCACCCAGGCCCACTTTGGAAGAATTGACTCAGGTTCCACATGTCCCCAGTTAAAAAGAGATGTCAAACCTGACCCAGCATTACTCACAGGAGATGCAGCTTTCATCTTGTCATCAAGAGCATCCAGAAACTGCAACCAGGTTTCTTGACCACACCAAAATGCAGCTTGTGCAATGCATTCAATCTGGTACAAGAGCACCTGATTGGTGTTCCATTGAGGCAAGGATGTGAACACACTAAGCCAGAGAAAAATTGGATCACATGGGTCTCTGGCACAGTCCTTAGCATACACAACATGTGTCTCAATAATTGATGAAACTGCTTTGAGCAACGGAGTTGGGAAGTCAGATAAGATCAAGTTTTTGACATAGGATGAGGATGACACAGATTCCTGAAGAAGGGACTTGATCACATTGAGGAACTTGGCACTTTGGTACAAGGAGTCCTTGCAAGGATAAAAGAGTGGGACCAAGAGGTAGAGAATTTTACACAGGGCATCATGGTGCTTCTCATTTTGCAATGGTTGAAGAAGATCCAACCCTGTTTGTAGGATTTCAGGGACCTGAAAACCTTGTGAGGTTGTCAGGAGTGCAACATAGCACGCAAGTGGGTGAGCAGCTCGGCAACCCTGTAGCAAGGAAGCCATTCCTTCAGTCTCATTTAAGTATGGAACATCGTGACTCATATCTGCACCTGGGATTTGATTGACATGAAGGTGCAATTTTTGTACCATGGTCCATGCCCATGTGTCAAATGTATTCTGTGGCTGGGACTGCCAGAGGTTTCGCAGTTTCCGCCTCTTCTCTGGTTTTGGTTCAACTGATGCACGTACAAGGCTGAGGGCAACAAGCAAGTGATGCTTGTGAGGTAATGCAAGGTGTTTCCCATCTGCTGTTAAGCTCCAATTCAAAGAAGAGAGGATCATTCGGGCCACCTGGTTCACTGCAGATGATGAATTCCCTCCCACAATGTGTTTCTCACAAAGATCCTTGATCTCAGAATTTGACAGGTGCCATGAGTCCCATGGAAGCTCCTTGGCTAGTCGTAGAATGGCATCTGGAGAGGTGGCAGCATTGGAAATCAACAGTTTATGGATAGAGGAGAGGACAAATGCATGTTGCATGGCAAGAGAGGTAAGGAGATCTCGGCCATGCTTCTCCATACTCTCACTCACTGAAGGGGACAAGAAGCAGACCTGCAAAACACAGACATCAGAGAACATTAAGGATGTGCCATGGTGACCGAAGGATAAGTCAAGCAGAATGCAGAAAATGGGAGTCATGATTCACTTGGCTGAAATTCCCAGGAGGGAAACTTCCTGTTTATCTTACTTAATTTACTGGTAATCACCTGTTATTGACAGAAAAATTATGTGGAAAACAACTAGGCCTTCTAAATATTCTGGACTATACATTGTATGAACCCAAAGGCCTTAAAGAAGTCCATGCAGTGAGAGGGTGCAGTGTGTTCATTGCAGGCCTGTCCCAAGGACCATGACCAACGGGTGCCCATTTTATCTCCTGACACATTCAACCATACAGCACACACAAAGTGCCACCTTTTCTCTATATTAAAAATGACAATGCTGCATGAGAAACCAGAATGTGTGCACATCACAGGTTTTAATGCAGGGCTTTATATTGTTCATTCAGAAGTTATGTACCTTCATAATGTGTAAAAGGCTGAAGACATCCTATACTAAGCTGGTATCAACATCCTGCATATATGATATATGAAGAGTAAAAAATAAAAATACCTCTTATAGGTATCAATCTTACTGCATTGAGCTTTTTAATAGTATATAGACTGAGTGGATGTTTGCTGAGGGATTTGAATTCCCAGGATGCTCAATGCTATCATTCAACTCATGTCCCAGCGATAGAGAGAAAATGAATCATGCAATACAATATTTTTATTTTTATGCAGAAAAGACTGGAAACATCTGCTTCTCTCAGAGGAGAGGTGGTAGAGTCTGGTACTCATCCTTATTCACATGTGCATGTGTTTTTCACCCTTTCTTGCATGGGATGCATCAGTATCCCCAGTGTGATAATTGGTCAATGGTGCAAATCATACCATATTGGTAGACAATTCCAATGGTTGCCATAAGTACCACCTTCTAAAACTTAGCAGGCTCTCATTTTTTTAGCACAATCTTGGTGTCCATTGGAAAAAAATGGGGTGGGTGACAGCAAATAAAGATGATGACATGGTATGACTTTCTGTTCCAATGAGGGATTGAGCACAATTGATATTACAACATTCAGCATCAGATGATGCAAAGCCAAGACTAAGATTGCATTAAATGGTTACACTCACACTTCTACAGCTGCTCAAAAACTTTTGAAAATAATCTTTCAGGTGCTACCTCCACACATTTAAACATTTTCCATGGGAGAGAAGTCTCACAATGAGCATCCACTAGCAGTAAGCAGCCAAATATCAATGTTGTCTTCAAGTTTTGTAACAGCTATGCTTTCAATATTTAATGAATACTATATAATAACAATAAACAGTTTTTCCTGTCATGAAGTAAGAGCAAAAATTACATTCTCATGAGATTTATAGGGATAGATTCTTACATAGCCAGATTCTTACATACATACATATTCTTATATAGCCATAGCTGAGAACTTCAATCACATTCTGAAATAATGAGAAAAGGTCTCTGTCAAGTTTCAGAACATACTGGCAGCATATGACATTCACAGAGAGGCTTTATCAAATCTTGCTCATTTTATTCATCAAATTTAATCAGCTCAAAGCTGATCAAAGCTTAGCCTTGGTAATTACCTGAAAGACTTCTTCTGCAATCTCATGGATGAGTAATCCATCTTGACATGTGCGATCAGCAGCTACTTGGATAAGAGCAGCCAGAAGATAAAAGAGAGAAAGACTCTGGTCCTTGAGCATTTCATTCTTCAGGGCCATGCTGAGTGTCTCCCTGATTTCCTTGACAACAGACTGAGATGCCACATGATATGATAGCTCTGAAAGGAACTGCACACCTCCTATCTCCTTTCCATGAAGAATGCAAGCAATGCTTCGTTTAAGGAATGCATCATACTCAACTTCAAGGCGACAACGAAACGCAGAAGACACATTGGAATGAATGAGTGTGAACTCCAGATGGTCTGTGACATACAATGTGAGGTGTGTGGCCATGCGACATAAATATTTCCCTAGTGTAGCAAAAGATGAGCCAGAATGCACATCCAAGCCCTTTTGCAGGATGAGGAGAATGCAAGTGGCCACAGAAAGGAGTCGCAGGAAACCTTGCTCTGAACTAATTACTTTTGGGTATATATAATGCCCATCACACTGGGGAATGCACAATAGCTGACAGATGACATCTTCAAATGACAGTTGCCTCAATAAGGACAAGATATCAGACTCAGTGAGGGCATTGGAGCTTTCATCCTCTTCACCATCATCAGTCACCAAGACCCATGCTTTATCACCGGTCTCACGTGGGATACAGAACAAGTCTCGACCTTGCACTTCTTCCAAAATGACTGTCATGATGGCTATGGCCAAGTCCACTTCTGGTGTCACCAATGTCTCCTCTGACACTGTGATGCCTGGTAGTTGCAAGCACTTTGACAACCAAGATGAACAGACACGGGAAGGAGACCGCAGCATATGATGAACCAAAAATAGATGGTCATTGTGGGAAGCCATTGGTACAAAGAGACTCAGGATTGCTTGCAGCCACTCAGAAACATCAGTTTGGAACGACTTATCACTGCAGTCTTTACGTAAAAAATAGAACAAAATGGATAAGCAAGTCTTAACATGTTCTATCCATCCAGGGGTAATGGAAGATGTCCACAGTTTCCCCAAATAACTTTGAATCTGGAGTCTACACAAGATAGAGGAGTGTGTATTCATGGTCTGCTTCTCATGAACCAGGGAACGGAGACTGACAAGTTCTCTGGACAAAGAGGTCATAATGCTTGGGTCAAGAGATGCAGAGGAATAGGAATGTTGACCTTCAACCTCTTTTCCATCTTCACACTTACCCTTGCCTTTGACAACCTTGGTCTCATGCTTCCAAGCCTCATCTTCCAGTTTGCAACAGGTTTCTTTCAATTCATGGACCTCTTTTGTCGACACAAGGAGCCCAGTCTGTGTTCGCATATATTCTGCCAGAAGTTCATGCAGTTCATGGTGGGGAAACTGTCTCTGTGTCTCCACAAAACTTTCCATGAAAAACTCTTTCCTTTCAAGAAAAGGATTAATATAGAAATGCAGGAGTTGTTCGAGTGGAAAGGGCTGGATCTTGAATTCTTCAATCTCATGTGGGATCACCTTAGCCTCAACTGCAATTGCTTCTGGTTGTGCATCAGTTCCTTCAACTGCAGTTGCTTCTGGTTGCATTTCATTTCCTTCAACTGCAGTTGCTGCTTCTGCCAGTTCTAGATTTGTATTGCCATCTTGTACCACTTTTTCTGAATCATTATCTACTTCAATGTTCCCAGTCTCTTCAAGTATTGGCACATTCACTATCATACTGTCTACTTCAATCTCTTTTTTCACATCCCCATGTGATTCAACCTTCTGCTCATCCCCCAAAGAAACCATTGGTTCTTTCAGTTCTTCAACAGGCATAATTTCTTCATCGCCATTTTCAGCTATCTCAAAAAGCTTTGCTTCATTCTGCATCCCATCTTCAACTATCACTGGAAAATTTACTGTTTCACCTGGCATTTGTTCCACAGAACGTAATTGTTCATAGCCTTCCAATTGCTTTATCCCCCTCTTAGATTCACCACCTCTCTCCTCTGCTGCTTCAGCGTTGTTCCCTGCTGGCAGGGAATCGATAGGCACCTCCTCGACTAGTCCAACATTGAATTCACCATCCTCTTTCTTCTCCTTTTTTGCCTCCTCAGGTAGGCTAGTGCCTGCATCTCCTGCAAACCCTGCATTGAGGGGCACCTGGGTAGTAGGAACCCACTCTTCGACAGCATCCTGCTGCACAGAAATTAAGAATAATGCCACATTTACGAACCAATACACGTGGCCGTGGGTGAACATTGGCACGGGAGACACTCACCTGCGATTCGGTTTCAGGTTTGGAACGATCGTGCCTCGTTCTCTTTTTCCTCTTGGGCTTCTCTTTCACGCATTCTGCCATTTCTATCGAGATCACTCCATGACAGGACACCTCATGTCTGTTGCAGAGAACCCGACGACACAGACACGTGATAACATATCCAAGTACGCACTGGGCGCAGTTTAATAAGTAAACAGATGAGCGGACTTGCGGTGATAAAGTATCCCGCGGGACAATATCAGCATAGGCTGGTTGGGGCTGCGGTGACGTCTTCCCACACCCCGCACTCATCCGATAGACACTTCCCCATAGAGTGCGGTTTGTCCTGCATGTCTCCATTGTCAATTAAGTCCGACTTTGTGCATTATTGGTTTCACCTCGTACTTGTTCTCACTTAAGTTGCGGTACCTGAATTCCATTGTAAAACCAATTCAGTCAGTTCGAAAAGTGTGAAGTGGATCTGCATATCCGATTTTGCAATCCAATCAGCACTCGCTTTAAAGATGGCGCATCACGTAAAGGGGAAGCTCATCGCTGTAATTGGAGATGAGGTGAGATCACAGGATTTACTCTCTTTCATGAGCGTTTCAGTGATAATTTTTGCCCATGAATGCATTTTCTTCTTTTTTTGTTTTTGTTTTTACAGGACACATGCGTCGGCTTCCTCCTTGGAGGGATCGGCGAGATGAATCGGAATCGTCAGCCGAATTTTTTCGTCGTTACCAAAAGTGAGTTCTAGCTTTATCCTCTCGCTACGCAGTTGCTCTTATTAGGCAATAGGCTAAGGCCAATGATCACTGGTTACGTTTCATCCAAGCTTTTAAGATAATTAAGGGATGTTAATATGGAGAGTGGTCGATATTTTCTACATGATAGTAATAGCAGAACTGCTTCAAGTTGCATAAACCTCAAGTGAGACTCGGGTTGCTGAATGACTTCTTTACTTGTAATGTAATAATTGCCTGAAGTACATGAAATACTTTAAATGATGTTGTAATGGCTTTTTCTTCCATTATTAACTTTAAGAGGAGCTTAGATGCCTTCATGTAGAAAGCAGAAAAAAATAGGTGTACTGTTGCTGTAAATGACTAGGCAGTATAAAAAATATATTCTTTAAGATAGGTAGGCCCTTCATATATTAATGTACAACCATGACACAGGACTCATAATGGAAAAGTGTGCCTCTTGATGACTACTGTATTTCTGTGCAGACACTGCTGTGGGTGAGATTGAAGATACCTTCAGGAAGTTTCTGAAGAGGGATGACATTGATATTCTGCTCATCAGCCAGACTGTAGACTTGTTGTCCTCAAGCTTCTACAGAACTTCTTTCCAGCAGGTTGCCTAAACCCATGTTTTTCATCTACTGTTTCCTGACAGTATGCAGAGCTGATTCGGCCTGTGATCGACTCCCATTCCTCTCCCTTCCCTGCTGTTTTGGAGATTCCATCCAAAGATTGTCCTTATGACCCTGAGAAAGACTCCATTCTTCGCAGGGCGAGGGTCAGTTCATAAAGCTCATGAGAATAATCCCTTATTGTTTTTTTGCTCAGAACTTATCTTTTTTAAAGAAAACCTTCTTGCATCTCTTTGCAGGGAATGTTCTCAGCTGAGGACTTCAAATGAAGAAGCAGCAGTTAATTCTGTGGTTCCTGCTGGCCCTATTTTCCTGTTATATTTCAGGCCGAAGTATCAGCACAATGGTAGATCTCTGTTTTCGCACAACTGAAGAACCTGAAGAGCCATCCCATGCTCATAGATTTAACCTTAGTCATGATTGTGATGTTGACATGATTTGGAAATATATTATGGATGAGAGGGAGAGCAGCAAAATAGGAATTGAAATTGTAGTTATAGTGTGCTTTATATGTGAGAAAAGTATTGTTGGCTAAATGAAAATGGCCCAATTCACTTCAGTGGGGATTCTTCATGTCTACTCTAGTGCCAGAGATGATCAGTTTGTGAAGATGTATGAACTAGACCCCTTACTATATTCAGATACTTCAGTAATGGATGTCATTTGCTGTAATCCTCATGCGCTTGCCTCATCATGGTCAATTTCATGCATGCCATCTTGGACTTGTTGTAGCATCTATTATCACATAAATGATTCAATTGTATCAGGAATCCAATCATGCAGAATTTTAAGACCTGTATGTGCTTGTGAGTTTTTATTTTCTCCACTTTCCAACATTCATTTCTTCAAACACATAAACTGCTCCAGGACTTCTTCAAGGTTTGAGACAAGACTAGGAAAGCAATCATATATGTGAGTCATTCAAAGAAAGTCCTAATTTTCATCCTTTTTATGTAACTTCAGGATATGTTTCAAAAGTTTTCCTTAAGTTGGCTCCTATGTAATGCATGGAGGAAAGAGTCACAAGTTTCATATCCCATGCTTTGTTTTGCCTGTGATGTCACTTTAGTTCCCATGGAGCACACTTACCTGGAGTATCTTTCATTTCTAATGTAGTAGCAAGCGATGGCATCAGTGGTGAAAACCCACAAGAGAAGGAGTTGAAGAAAGCTGGATGCCACCCATCCAAACACTAGCCCTTTGAACTTCCACATATTGTGATGCCTTGATTCCCAATACTTGAAGAGGCATTTGGGATATAAATTGTAAAGTTCTCCCCTTCACCTCATAGTTTGTTTTTGCCATCAAATATCTACTTGTGATAGCCTACAATGGGAAATGGTAGTGATATCTGGTATTATTCAATTCCTTCCTGTGTGGGATTCCACTACCAATGGCATTTTCAAGAAAAGGCAAAACAGTAGCTCTGGATCAGTTGATCAACAAAGTCACATGAAAAGGCAACCTATTGGATGTCTTGGTACATCATATTTGCTTATCTTCAGCATCCCAAATATGTGAGAGTTAAATAAAGGATTCCTCACTTTGAATGAAAGTCTAATCCCCATGATTTGAAGAAAACAGAGTGCTTTACTTTTTCCTATTGGGCCAGATTTTATATTATTTTTCTCATTTGTATATGTTTTTTGCTTTGCTGCTTGCTGCTAACTATTTTGTTGCATTGACCCTCAATTTCCACTTACTTTCTATAGTGCAGTGTGTTCATTATCATTGCAGGTATAAGTGGTTAACAGTTCCTCTGAGTTGCTGGGTTTCAACATTATCTTTTCCAAGCAAATCACGTTCCTGACATCTTGTAAAGGAACTGTGTTCACCCTGTCTTGTGTCCTGGTCCCTAGGTGGAAGGCTGGTTGATACCTGCAACTTTTACTCAGGATGCTATCGATATTGAGAATCTTTGCAGTATGTTCAATGGAAAAATAAAAGAAATATGTTTTCCCCTTGTAATGCTGTGAATGTATCATTGTAGAATGCATTGAAAACTCCAGATGGTCAAGAGACTTCCATCAGAGCCTTTAACACGTTGACGGCCAGCCTATTTTTGCTTGTCCGCCGCGTGGGACCACGCGCATTCTGGAACGTTCTCAACAGTTCCAGAGGGTATTCATTGAAAAAAAATCTGCATCCTGGCATCAGGATGCATTGTCGCCAACGTGTTAAGTTCCACTTTCTTATTGGATTCAATTCCCCTGGCATTTCTGATTTGGAGTGTCAGGTGATGTAATAAGTACTAAGCTTTATGATACAGGGTGATCAAGAAGCCATTGTGCAGTAGAGTTCATGATATGATGTAGGAAGCCCCATTGTAGATGGGATGTACAGACAATAAGTCATGTGCATCATGGATGGTGCAGGTATTTGAGGAAGTATTGCATGTGTATTTCTGTCTTTGATGATGTAATGCACAGAATAGTACTAAATAAATACCACAAAATGAATTAATTCTACTGCACAGTGCCTTTTTGATCACCCTTTACTAGTAACCATTTTGAGGTGAATCCATTCTGGTCATTATTGGCCCAATGGCATGTATGCAATTCCCTATATATTGATAGATTTATATTTCGAGGAGAACGCCTGGTTCACGGATAGAAGCGCATGCCGTTCGTCTCTCATACCTTTCCATATGGAAAGCGAAAAAAAGCTGTCCCCTTCGGCATGGTCGCGCTGCAGATGTGAGACAAAAACCCATGCGGACATTCTTCAGGTCTTCAGTCAGACATTTCGGCATCCATTTGGCAAACACCAAATGGAACTGGAGGCGATCTGAGACGATTGTTTGCACGGACTCATGGCTAATGCCCACTCCTGCGGCTATGGTATCAAGGAACACGCATCTGTTTCCTATAATCACCTCGTCCACCTTCGCGATATTGTCGTCTGCGATTATGACATTGGTTCGGTAATGGTTAAACGCGTACCCTCTAGAGCAGGGGTGTCAAACTAGCGGCCCGTGGGCCGGATCCGGCCCGCCAGTCCATTTTGTCCGGCCGGCGAAGTCCTCTTCAACAGTTGGTTCCGGAAACGAACTGAAAATTTCAGCCTGTTTGCATTAAAAATAAGGTGTTACATTTTTGTTGTGGCCCCTAATCACCCCTAAAGGCTTCCATCCGGCCCCCAGTCTAATCGAGTTTGACACCCCTGCCCTAGAGATATTGCACTTCTCCAATCTCCTATATTCTCTGATGAATTCAACCGGAAACATGCCACCTTCACTGGGATTCCTTTAATTTATCAACAAAAAAAAACAACCTGGCCTGACTTTAGAGGCAACACAATATCCTTAGGGCAGGGGTCGGGAACCTATGGCTCATGCCTCATGGCTAAAAATCATGGTTGTTCCTCATTTTTCTCATGCATCAAAGAATGCACATGTCTGTTTCCAACTTCAGGAAAAATTGTGTTATTTTGAAAATCTTTGGCTCACGAGCACTTAGCTCAATCTTAATATGGCTCACATGGCCAGAAAGGTTCCCGACCCCTGCCTTAGGGGCTACGCCTTAACCTTAACCCATTGGCTCGTCCTGATCTGGGTTTGTCTCCGACACAAAGGCGTCCGCCGCGAAACATTTTGCACCATTCGTTACTCATCTCTGAGACAAGCGTCACACCATAAACTGCAACCATTGTGTGAAGGATATCGAGGGGTTTTGCACCTTATGCCAAGGCCGTATTTAGGGGGGGTTCATGGGGTTCAAACCCCCCCGAAATTTCTTCCTTAAATTTTTGTTATGCCGCTATTCGTCGGTGTAAACGGTGCAGTACTTGGTCTTTTCTATCTTTAATAGCTTATGACTTATTAAACACTGCAACTTACAGGAAAATCCAGATGTCAAAAAGACTTACAATGACAAGCATAAAAAAATAGCCACAGGGCGTACGCCAGACCTCATCCCCCCCCGAAATGAAATCCTAGATACGACCCTGCCTTGTACACACAAAAACTATATCACAACCCTTTGATGTTACTTGGACGCCCCTTCAATGGAGGTAACCATTTTTACCAGGTTACAGCGCGTGTAATCTTCGCAAGCAGATGTGTCAATTACCTTTTCAGCTCAACAGAGTGTCCCATAAGTCTCTACCCCTTGAACCTATTCCTAGTAGAATAGGGTAGCAAAATTAAATGTATGCGTTTAGTTATTTAGTTTTTTTTTTTACATTTACTGTGACATTTCATAACACTCGTTCGACAACAACAAAAAACTCTCATTTTCCGCCATCTTCACAAATCTTTACCGCAATTCACCTGAAAAAAGGGGTAAAGGGACGTATGGGACACCCTGTATACCAGTGTACCTAAGATTTATTTACGATGTCATGAAGATGTGTCATTCGTACGATTTTTGGTGCGAATTTTCAGTTGATAGGCCCTATTACTTATTCCATCGCTCTTGCAGGACTCATTGCCTGTTTAATTTATCCAGGTATAAATAAATGTTCAATGCTATGTGAAACAGCATAATAATGCCGCCAAAAGCACACGCACACACAAAACAAAACCGGGACGAACGCATTTATGCGCCAGGACGCGAGAGAGAAAAACCAGTTTCACATTCCGAGGAATGATGCACTTGCCTTTGTTTCAGGGCAGTTAAACGCCTGTCATTCGAAGTATTGATACTTTCCTTCAGCTACAATGCCCTGCTCCATTCGATGAAACCACCTTTCGAAAAACGTCTTCCTCTCGTCTGAAGTGATGACTGCCAAATGTTCTCAAAGAGCTTCAAATGCTTCGTCGTCGCCGTGGAAGTATTTCCCTGTAGTACCTTCCTTATAAAAATAAAATAATCACAAGTAGCGGGAGTTGGAAAGGGTGAAGCACCAGCTGAAAATGTTCATCAGCCAGGAAATCGCATGTGCGTGCTGCTGTGTGCACTGGCATCGATACGGTGCAAGAGGATTCCACGGACGCCTGTCTTTGGACGGCGCTGGCGTGATTCTTCCAACACTTTTGGAAGGTAAACTGTGGTGTACCAGAGTGCAGTAGCTGTCATCTGTTCCTCCGATAGGACAACTTTCGCGGCACCCTATACGGAGAAGAACACTGCAACCATATTCCCAATACTCCAACTACGGCGCACCTTCTTCGCCCTCGGGGTTCCCGGAAACACCCACTCGGTCGATTGCCACATCGTTTCCGAATCGGAAAGAAGTATCCACGGGTCTGTTCCTTACCTCTGCTAAATTTAATCAAAGTTTTGCAGAGGCGAGGAACAGACCCCTGGAGTGACGACTGTCGAAAGACATTCACTGCGAGACATCATCCAAGCTGACTCACTCTCGTCGAAATTCACCAAACCAGTTGTAAACTGTGGCAGATCAAGGAGCAGATGTTCCAATTGCTTGCTGAAAACGGGCATGGCACTCAGGCGCCGCTAGTCCGACTTTTAAGTTGTAGACAATCATGACACGGATGTGCGCTCCATGACTGGACGCGCAGTACGGCTTGCTTGGCTGCAAACAATATCATATTCCCGTCGACTGCGTCTGTGTCTAGACAAGTCATAATGGGAGTAAACATTCAACATAGCAATCTTCCACTAACCAAAACATAAAATTGATACAAGTCTACGTAGCCTATTCTAAAAACTTTCAGAGTGATCCTCGTATATCGGAAAATGAGCAGTGAGGGTGGGTTTTCAACTTATACATTTTTCTTCGCTTCCTTTCAGCCTCCAGGTTTCTCATCTAGAGCTCATTCAAGTAAAGCAGGTCGGACATGAGAGTCCAATATTCAAAGTCAAATATATCAAGGCATGGAAGAGGACATGACGAAAGAAAGTAAATATTTGATGTTTTGGGAAGGACTAACGGCAGGATGTAAAGGAACTGAAAGGAAGATGAAGGAAGCTTTTCGCCGTACTTGCTTGAACGTGAATCCGTTGAATGCATGCGACAGGATTCAGGCGTGTGGCAGACGCAGCCGGTGGTCTCACGTGGTGCTAGGGGTGCATTCCGAGGAAGGAGGTCGAGGAGGAAACATTCGGCGGTTCGAGCTGTTCTCATTCCATGGCGGTTCGCTTAGCAGCAAGTGCCGGGTTCATCGAGTTTCTCCCTTGCAGTTACGGCCTTTTGGAAAGAGGGAGCATGGGGATCGACAGGAAAAAAAAAAACTGTTACTCAACAGAGGATCGCCCTTTGAAGAGGCAACGTGGCGCAAAATCTCTTCCAACATCGCATGGAAATGTATGTGGAAAAACCGCCAGTGCGAACGCAGCAGGTCAGTTGCTTAAAGGCTACGGTTTTTCCAAGAGCTTGAAGTCTCTCTTCAACGGAGAATTTTGGAGTCTTCCCAACCCCTTCCCGCCTCATTATTACTTCGATTTGACAAGCACGGCGTATTCGCTTCAGCAAGATGCAAAAAATACTACCACAAGCTTGGTTACGTCTCGCTTAAAAATCAAAATTTACCATTTGCTACTATGCTCATTTTGCTACAAACTTGTGGCCGACTTCATGACTTTTCGTTTCATATTTATAATTTAAAGAAATGGAATGGGATCCAAACCTTGCCGTTAAATTTGCCGAAATAAAATGCATTTCTCAATTAATTTTTCCATCACTTCATGGGGTTCCCAATCAGGAAACCCTTTGTTTGGGAACCCTCAACTTGCGTGAACAATATTTAAAAGGACCTTTTACTAGGGAGTCTTTCCCCGAAGCCAACATTTTCTCCTTCTGATAATAAAAAGACTTATTGGTAAGAGATTTTACACGTTTTCCAGGAGCTCCAAATCTTTAATGGACTCGTTCCTGATGAGACTGCAATCGAGTAAAATCGGAGTTTATCTTCACCTTGGCCTCCTGCACTTCGAACCGGCTTTAGGGGTAGAGGCAAAAGAAAATCCGGTTATACTGTTGAGACCACGAGGATGAGGGAGACCAGTGACGTCACCGTCAACGACTGTATAGATCAGGATCGGTCAATCGGATTCAATTCATCT